GGCTGGTAGTAGGGTCTCCGCCAAGTATAGCATGCAGCTCTTTGTAAAAGCAACAGGTCTGCGGCTTGGCACCAAATCAATGGTTGGCCTCCCTGGCCTTCTATAATGCCTGCCAGCTGCTTGTCCCTGTCAAAACCCTTTTCTTGCACCCCTGAGTAATCTACTGTAGATGTTGACATTTCTATGGCTGGTTCAGAGCTGTGCTTGCACAGCCTCTTCTCCCCACAGGCCCAGGAGATCCAGTATCTCCCTCTAGTTCAGGCAGGAACACAACTGGAGTGCCTACCTACCATGGGCAGCTGGGCCATTGCACACAATGGAGAGCTGCTGGGTATGCTCGCTCACTGAACAACCAAGAAAAGGCATTTCAAAAATTTACAGGGGTTTTAAGGGGGGAGGGGGGCTTCCGGTCTACATGTCCCTGGGCAGTGGAATTCACAATTGTGACCAGAGTAGTCAGTGTCAGGCAGTGTTGGACAGTGGCTGGAGGACTGTTAATGTCAACACAGGTAATGCAGTGTCTACTCACACTGCAATGACCTACGTACATCAACTGTGGCTCAATGCCACTCAAGGAGGTGGTTACTATGTCAGCATAATAGGGCACTTACAACAGTGGGAGACAACTTTAAATGTAAATATGTGCACAACCAGGTCAATGCAAGGCAGCTTACATCAAACTAACTTTGTAGTGTAGATCAGGCCTAAAACTAGGATGTTTATCCAAAGTAGTGTTTCAAAGGGGATGAGGAAGGTCATGGTGGAGCAGGAATTCAGTAGCACCTAAAGGATATCAGTGCTTTTCTTGTGACATAACTAAGAGAGCCTTCTCCCTAAGTTTATACACACACACACTCTCCTCTAACCTGTGTAGGTTAGTCACTTTATCACTGACCCCCCCCCTAGTACTTATCCTACTGGCAAATAACCTTCTCTGTTACCATCAGGAAAGTGCAGATGTTGTATAAAACTATTGTCTACTGATATCTCTGGTCCAGTATTGGAAAAAAGCTTTCTTCAACTGGCAATTGGGTCCTGATTTTCCAAAAAGAAGCTGTTTCCTACTTGTAGTAACAAGCTGAATTAGTTTCACATTGCAATAAAGTAAATGTATATTGCGGACAGTAGTTTTCTGTTTTTTCCTTTATTATTGAAGATGTGTTTGAATAAGGTTCTTTTCAGTTTTATCCTGAAGAGAAAGAATACCTTGATATTGTTTATTCCTACAGAAATGACTGTTATAAAAATGCAGCATTATAAATTTATTGCAGGAGTAAATAAGATAATGAGCTTGAGGGGACAATCCCTTAAATATAAATACTGTAGCTCTGGTAATTCAATATGGTAAAAATTAGTGAAACCTTTCAGCTACTTTTTGTATTTTAGTCATATATATATTATATGGAAGTCTTACGTGTGTGTGTGTGTGCGCGCACGCGCAAGACTTCCACACATAGAAGTCCTTTTACAAGAAGATTGAAAGTATCTACCTCTCCCTATACTGATTATCATATGCCCAAATGTAACATTGTTACAGAACTATTGGAGTACAGTCCAGTGCTTAAAAAAAAGATTTTTGCATAATTAATTTTTCAGATGGAATTATACAAAATCAGATTATAAATTTATAGCATGGACTTCCACATTCCTCTCTTCCCCACCCCTTCCGCCCCCCCCAAAAAAAAACCACTTTAGAAGGACCTGGGGACATGATCTGCCCCTAATATTTTTGTAATTTTAATGAAAAGTTAGTCGGGCCGAGGGATGTACTGGCCGCCGCTTCCAGCAGCTCCCATTGGCCTGGAGCAGCGAACTGCGATCGGCTGAACCTGTGAACACGGCAGGTACACAAACCGGCCTGGCCCGCCAGAGGCTTTCCCTGCACAAGCGGCGGAACAAGTTTGGGAACCACTGGTCTAGAGTATTTACATGAAGAAAACATTGGAACATTTTTCATACTAGAAATATCAGGCTCTAAATTAAGCGGTGAATGGAAAAACTAAAGTTTTCAAAATAAAAAAATTTTAATGTAATTTATAGCAATTTTGTAACATTCTTTTAAATATGCCAATCAAGGAATAAAATCTACTCACTCACCATTACAATAATGTAAGTAAAATGTTGCAAGGGTGAACAGGCGGAAAAACATAGCATTAGTGCTAATGTGGGAATCTTAGCCATTCAACTCTCATTACCTTTAAAAGTTTATTCTTTTGGCTCATTATAAACTTGTTTATTGCTAAAAGCTTTGTGAAGACAACTCAAGTAAGATCAAATACACAAGTGATATAAAAGTATTTATTCACATAATTTACATATAGAACAGACTGCTTTCTTTGAACCCGAAAGCTTACACATGAACAATATTACATAGGATGTTTGTCAAAGAACTCTTCAAGGAAAACAGTCCTTTGCCACATCTTAATAGAAATGATAAACCATTGATCAGTGGAACTTAACACAGGATGCTGTTCTGTTTCCTTCCATCACTATGACTTATACAACTTTCATATCCAACACGGAAAACACACATTATCTTATCTCTCTAAAGAAATGGGATTCACTTCAAAAGAGATTGATAACAAAGTGCACATGGTTTGCTGTGAAAAAACAACAAGAACAAGGTCTGTTGTCCCTTCCGTCTATTAGGGATAAATAAGGCACCATACATTTTGTCGTCTCTTTATAATTTATGAAATACAAATTATTTTTGCCTTGTCATTTGAATTGCATCTGAAATACTATGAATGAGTCTTTACCACTTTAGTAGGTACTTAGAGTACGTTATTTTATAGCCTCCTCCTCCACAAATCAATTTTGAGAACATATTAGTGGGGGTGATCTAACTGGTTTACCTGATTCTAAAATGCAACATGCCCCATGTAACAATAACTAACAAAATATTTGCACTCATGTGGTGCCCGCGGGCGCCATGGCGCTCATCTACTGGCAGCATTTCGGCGGCAACGCTTCTTGGCGTTGCTGCTTCTCGGCTGCTTGTCCGGTGGCCACACTCCTGGGCGGCTAGTAGTCCGGCGCCCGCTACACGGAAAGGTTGGGGACCACTGGCATACAAGAACCAGACCCTACAAAATGTACAGTAGCCTTAGCTACAAGTATACAGTGTTAATCTATTACTGCAATGTTTACAGTAGAAGGAGAAAAACATAAAAATGGGTATTTCAAGTTAAAATGAAATAGTCAAACCATGAGACACTGGCCTGAAACTGGAAATGTGATTGGATCTATTTGTACAGTCATTTTTTAAATTTAAGTTGTCATTTACTTGAAAAACAGGGGAAAACCATTCTATTGTAGGATAGTTTTCCCTTTCCACCACAGCATTAAAATTGTAATTGCTTCTCACATTTAGCTGCTATAAAGTAAGTGATTTGGGCTTCTACTTTAATGATTCCTAATAGCTGGTCTACTTTTGATTATTGTTCCGTCTTGAGGGCACCTTTAGAAGCAACAAGTCAAAAAATAACTTCTGAAAGGATAAAAATTCAAGTCTCAGCAAGCGATTCAAGAGAAATCTGATAATCATTATAATTAGAAAATAAATTATGGATTTGCTAGTAAATCACCATCCAGCTCTACAGAGTAGATATTTCTTTGCAGAGGGAGGCAAAATAATCTTAAAAAATAGTTTGAATACCAAATTTAGCAAAATATTTTAAATTACTCTCTCATTAAGAATCATTTTCGTTTTGGCAAGACCCATTCACAAAATACAAATTAAAGGTAGAAGCACAACCTTAAGGTAAACAAACATATACTGTACTATGCATTTCTGACTGACCTGTGGCAAGTGAAGCTAGAGTAAAAAAATAACTGGTTTGCAAGGGTGTACAGAACTGTTAAGGAACATAATTAGGGATATACTCATCTTGAAGTATGTGACATTATGTAAATCCCATGTTCTGAAAGGTCTATTCTGTATCCTTGATCTCCAGTGGCGAACATTTAAGCAAGGAGAAAAATGCAGACTTTATCTAAGTCTAATTTAAAATATCTACCTACTCATTTCAAGAAGTCAAGACTTTAAGAATGAAAATATATTTATCTTTTAGAAGAATGCCTGATTTTAAGATTGAGACCATGTAACTCTGTTAACTTGTCACAGCAATTTTTCCTTATTACATAAGTGGAAAATTAGTCTTCATGTGACAAACCTAATATCACCCTAAAAACTAAGTTACACTGTGCTAGTGAACAAAACTTAGACAGGAAACATGAGGAAAACCATTGTAACTAAACCGTCTCAAAGTAGCAAATCCTCAAAGCATCCTCACTCAATTGTTCTGGGTTCGATTCTGCTCGCAGTTACTCTTGATTTATACTAGGGAAATTCCACTGAAGTCAATGGAGTTACATGAGTATATAAAAGACAGTGCAAGAGCAGAATCCAGCCTATTGTATTAAATATTTAATTTAGAAATAAATCAGCATTTACAATGGGAGATAAGTTAATCTTTTCCTCACCCCCAAATCAGACAGATGAAAAAGGATTAACGGGATAGCATCTTTTAATAAATTAAAATTAAATAAATACAGTCTCATGTTTATCTCTGTACATTTAAAAGGGATTAGATATTTTGTTTTCAATCAGGGCCTTTAAGCCTATGTACCTCTGAATTTGTCATTACAAAAATACGTAATTTGGAGAAGACTATAAAATAGCCGATAATAAAAAACATTTCTATGTATTTACTACACTAAGCTTTTAGAATTGCTTCTCTATCTATAGAGATAAATATGAAGGTTAATTCTCCTTCCTGGAGTGGAACTTCACAAAAAGAAGTATAGCAAATAACTTTTATAACCAGCCCCACAAGCTTCAGCATTATGATTTAAAGGGATATTGTCACGTGGATAGTCATTCATTCATTGCACTTCTAGAAAGTAGTCATGCACCCAGCATCTGCATCTTGAAAAGTTACAGTGTAAGCCAACAGCTACCGTTTAGTCTCATCATGCCAATCTAGTTCTTAAATGCTTGTTATTCTTCATTAGTGAGGCTGGTAATAAATTAGGACTAAGGAAGAACAAAGGAGAATTCACAGCAACTCATCTATATACAGTTCTGCTGTTACACTGCATTCTTGGATCCCAGAGGTTTATTCTGAATCATCCACCTCCATAAAGATATCACTGAAAAAATATTCTGAGATTCTGGTTGGCTCCTCTTCTTTCTCCTGTTGTTTAGTATAGGAAGCTTGCTTTTCAGAAGACTCCGAAGAAGCCTACAAAAAAATAAAAGGCTGCATTTACACGTCTGACATCTACTGAGATTTGTTGTTTCTCATGCATCTATGCCTCATCTTGTGTACAAACTAGAGTCTCGTGGTAAGTTTCAGCACTCACTTAAAATGTAAAAGCAATAGGCCTCCCACAACCAACATAATAAAGATTATTTCCCCAAGCAAAATTGTTTCAGATAATAATTTGGGATACACCAAGTAAACTGTAGTAAAACCATCCTTCAAATCTTAAATTCATTTACTTGGTCAGGTAGATTAATTTTAACTGATCAAGCTATTACCTGTAACAATTATTCTTTAAAGATATAAAACGTAATGGAATCCTACTCTTGAGTGGATGCCCTGAGCATAGATCTACAAAATCTCACAGGAGGGGTTCACATGCTTTTTCTGCTAAAGTAATAATGGAAATTTGATCTCAAGCAACAGTGGTAAGTAAACTCGTACAGAGAAGATCATTTTTCAGAGTAGCAGCCGTGTTAGTCTGTATCTGCAAAAAGAACAGGAGTACTTGTGGCACCTTAGAGACTAACAAATAAATTTGTTAGTCTCTAAGGTGCCACAAGTACTCCTGTTCTTTTTAGAGAAGACCATGTGGCTGCTTTGCAAATTTCAAAGATATATATAAATCAGAGGCAGACATGTAGCAGACATGCCTCTCACAAAACATGAGATGACATAACCCTCAAAACAGAGTTGTCAGGCTGCTGCAGCAAGATGCAATCAGATATGGTTCTCTTGGAAACAAGCACAACATAGTGTCAAGTAATAAAAGCTGTGTGGACTTTGAGAGATTTAGCATTTCCAAATAAAAGCCTAGGGACCTTTTCATACACAGTTTTGTCAGGAAGGACATTCAAGTTTGTGGGAAATGTTGGCAGGACAAGTGACTAAGGCAAACCACCTTTGGGAACAATTTATTGGGGATTTAATGGGGATTTCAAACAATTATCCTTATCTTGTGTTTTAGATATTCAAAGTGCTTTACAAACATTAACATTAATTTTCATTACGATTTTGAAGATAGAATAGTTCATCTGCAGACAGCTCAGTGCTTCAGTGTACCAAGAACCACCCAGATCTCAAAACCACAGAGGCAATCAGCTGCTAGGACATCAAATCTATACACATCCTGCCTCATCAAGGCTATGTCTTCTGGACTATTGGTGGCATAGATGCTATTGGTGCTAGGTTAGTTGGAAGTCTGACCAGTTGTACCCAGGACTTGAACACAATCAGCTAATGACTCATTCTCTCGTCACTGACGGAGCTTGGTGCTTCAGCAAAAGGTGATGCGTTGGTTAATGAGTGTCTAGCACACCAGCAGCATGTGCTTAGACACTAAGGTCATCTTTGTGTGTGACATAGGGATCTAGTTCTCTGCTTCTGTGGCATAGGACAGAGTTAATGGCCTGTCACCTTTGGAGCTGGTGGCGAAAGCACATAGTCTTGTTATCAAACCTAAGGTCTTAACTTTAAGGCCTTTGAAGGCTGAGCTGGCTTCATATCAGGGTATAACACATGTCACCATGAGCCATCAACAGATCTTTCTGGGACCGACTCATTTACGGTCATGGTGAAATCTTACCTCACAGCCAGCCAGACCTGGTCATTTCTGAGGCACACATGAGTCACGTTTCTGGAAGTTATGGTCAAAACATACACAAACACTTTTAAAGTGCAAGGCAGTCGGTCTGGTCTACACACAAACTTGCATTGAAATAACTAAATCTTTGTTATTTTGGTGCAAGTCTGTGTGCAGACACTTTGGGATACGTGTCCTGTTTCAGTTTTGCTTAATGTGGAAAATGTAATGTGACCTCAAGAGATCAGAACAGAGAATCTGGGGAGATTTAATATTAACAAACACAATCTCCTCCTTAGGGAGAGGAAATAAACAGTACAAATGAGATGGGATGTAATCAAGCAGCTGCATTTTTAACCATTCAGTTATGGCTCCCCCCCTACACTTTGCAGGAAATATAAAGCTACACAGCTGGCTCCTTTAGGTAAAGTAGCAAATGGGGAATTTCTAGAGACATATGTGGTCAGCTCCCTGGGTCTGCTCTCCATCTTATGTGCTCAAAGCAGTGACCTCAGGTTCCTGATTTAAGATAGAAGTGAAGGCAGAAACTGGGAGAAATAAAATTTCATATAAAATGAAACATTAATTCCAAAATTGAAGATGCCTTTGCTGTTATTGGAGCAAATGTTGGACACTCCAACATTCAAAAAAGTTGACGTAATTATGGTTGTTTTTTCTTATCATTCAACATAGTCCTTTTGTTCAGCTTCACAGCATACAGATAAGCAAAAAGAGTCCACAAATCTATAAAAGAATGTCACAGTGATCACTTCACACACACACACACACACACGTGGTTGTCTCCTAGTAGTGCTTTACATTTCATACAGACATGATGTTCAGAGGTAACTGTATGTACCTGAACTGCAGCAGTGCCTATATTCTCACATTCAGCAGACGTCAACATGCTTGTAGAGGGAAGAGAACAGGACTCTTGAGTGTCTGTACTGTTCTCAGCAGATGGAGTGGGTCTTTTCAGACTTCGCTTTGAGGCAGCTATGAGAGGTTTTTGGGGTCTCTGTCTATTCCCTTTAGCACCCTCTCCAGGTTCAGCATTACTTGATTTGCAAATTAAAGATAAAAATCCCAGAGGTCTTCGGCCAGCCCTATTCAAAACAACAAAAATTAACAATAAAGTTTCACGGTTTATATAATATTGTCAGCTTGCTTAATGAAAATGGAGTAGAAATATTGTTTGTATTTAATGAGAGTTTGACTTACAATCTAGCAGCAAACACTTCTAAATTATATGAAGATGATTAAAACATTCTAAAATAAATAATTTGGAATAGGTTAAATCAACCCCAGAATTTGTTTATGTTTTTTAATATGTTTTGGTTTTTATTCTCTGAATTGGAAAATATCAACATTTTTGCCAGATTATTTAAGCAGCACAGACCTGAGAAAGCTCCCCGTAGAGCTGTAAAAGCCTTCAACAGTCTCCACGCCAGCACAGTGTGGGAGATGGAGCCTACCATTCACTACTCAAGAGTGGCCAATATAAGCTCCCAGATCTCTAGGCAGAAGATACTCCTAGCAACAAGAACAGCTGCAGAGGAGATCTGCCAGCTTCTCACCCACAAAAGAGCAGGGAATTCCTTCATGTGTCATTTCCACAGGCCTCCTCTAATGCACCACATGAGGGAGGAATCCCACTCTCCCAAGGGCAACCTAGAAAGCGTCCCAGAATACAGAAGGAAGACACTCCTTGGAGCAGGAACAGCACCAGATTTTCACTCTACCAACATCAGCACAGCCAATCACAGTGAACTGTTACTTAATGTTAATTCAAGAACAAAAAAGTTGGGGCAAAGGCCCAGAGTCACTTTTTAGATTGTAATCTCTAAGGCAGGGACTGGCTTTTTCTATGTATGGACAGCACCTACATATTGTGGTTGACACTGGAATACAAATAAGCAACAACTAAACCCCACACACCACAATGATATGAGAGGAAGGGAGAAATCATCAGGGGCCAGTAGGCAATAGTAAATGTTACTAGGACAGGGAAAAGCAGAGGTTTACAAAAAATGTATGACTGTAAGAAAAGTAAAATGGTGAGTAAATAAGTGATGCTTAGAGGAATAGAACTAAAATATAAGGGGAAAGGTAAATTAAAAAATATAAAAAGGAACATACGAAGGAATAAAAGTCATGTTGCATCTTCTGTTTGTTGTCTAGACTGTACACTCTGTGGGGCAGTGACATGTCTTAATACAGCTTTAAAGAACGAGCACACTGAGCATATTAACTACTATTACTTAACTGAAAAATTCAAAGAAACAGATATGTTTATACAGTATATTACAGCACAGGATGGGGCAATTAAAATAAATGGTTTATTAAAGCTACCAATCTGGTTTTCCCAAGTCCAGATCCTAGTGAACAGAGTCTACATCACAAAAGGCAGCTGTGTTGGCTGTGTAAATAGAGAAGCCAAATACTTAATAGGCACAAGCAATCTGTTCACTGAGGCATATTGCCAGAAAAGCATGGGACAGCATGAATCACCATTAACTACGCTGTTACCATTCCATGGCTAGAGTATTTCAAATTCCAAAGCTGATCCTTTCTAGTTTTTTGCTGAAGGAAAGGACGGACAATGTTCTAGTGTATGGGCTTTTTAACCTGGGATTACATCTATCCTGCTCTTCCCACAATGCTAAGTAGAAGGATCACCATGTGCGAGTCCCGATAAGAAGGGGGTCTTCAGAATGAAAAGGCTGAGAACCGATGTTCTAGAAATACCTTAGCATCGGGCTTCTTGAAAGGGCAGCTGTGCTCTCAACATGTCCTGAACGTCCAGATTCACAAATATCCATAGAACTTTCTTGCTCATTTGCTTCTTCTTTTCCTTCATGGTCCATTCCAGACACCAACTCATCTGAACACTTGCATGCCGATTCCTCAACTGGTGTAGTTCCTAATTTCTGAAACGATTCAGATTGCCCTCTTTCTGCAGTTTTAGATACAGATATAGAGGTAGGTAGTTTTTTCTTCTTGGAAGTTTTCCGTTTTTCAGAAATTCTCCCTTTAAGTGAAAAAAATTAATATTAAGCATAAATGGGAAATTTACAATTCTCATTGACTGAACTTATACTCTTAATATTTTTATAATATTAGTATTCTACATCATGGTCCAAACTAGTGTGGTGGTGGTATTAAAAGACGTAGTGTTTTGGGGCATTACAATTGACACTAGTGTTATTTTTGTTTGTTATTTAAATAAATGTGAGCAAGCTAAGTTTCTCAAAAGATAATAGTTAATTTTTTTAAATATTTCATATTTTGGGCCTGAAAACCTTACCAGATCACACAGACATTAGAACTGGAAAAGATCAATTAGGTCATGCAATCCATCTTCTGATAGGGCAGAATGATCCCTATTATACTTTCTAGGGCTTAGCCCCATCACCCTGAATTTTTCCAAGATATGGGCTCCCATAATTTCTTTTGGGAGACTACTGCACAACTTAAAAGTAGTACTCTGAAATCCCCTATAGAAGTGCAAAGAGCTAAACAGATCTCACTGTCAGGAAATTTCTGATTTTCAATCTACTATTTTTCCCCCCTCAATTTCATTCCACTTCTTTTACAATTACATCCCTTCCCTTTGCATTAGCTCAAATATTAGGTCTCCGATGTTTCCATCCTTCAAATATTTGTAGGCTAATCCTTCTTTCAGTTAAAGCCTTTTAACTAAGAAACTACACATATCTGGTTTCTTTGGTCTTTCCTCATTCGTCAGTCCCTCCAGTCCCCTGTTCTTTTTTTGGTTGATCTTCTTGGAATCCCTTCCAACATGTTCACATATTTTTAGTAACAAGGTGACCAAAAATAAAATCACTGTTGTAAGTTGTATAGAGGGGGACTATCATTCCTGACATGATGCATTTTGTGCATGCAAGCTGTAGACCTGATTCAAAGCCCACAGAAGTCATTGAAAGTCTTTCCATTGACTTTAATGAGCTTCACATCAAGCCCTGTATTATCCAGATTCTTTATTCAACTACAGAAATATTAAAAAGAAAGCATCTCCACTATATTTATAAGGTCCCACAAACATTTTGCATTCTCTCTGCTGGAACTTCATAGCAGGTAAGACAAGACCTCTGCTGATCTGGTTAGAATTGCAAATGCACAAAAAGATAGTTTGGCATAATACAGATCATCGGTTAATTGCTCCATTCAAAACAGGCGGAAACATATTTGCCAAATGGAAAACAGCAAAATTGGTAGTAAAATAAATCTTTGCCAATTTAAGAGCTTAGTATTTTGATCTCCCTTGTTTAGCTAACTTAACAGTTTTGTTTCAGTATCTTTAAATAACAATGTAACAACTCTTCCTCTAATTGACAATAATTCAGTATGAACAAGACTGCACCAATCAACGTGAGAGAGGTATGTTCTTTAGACAGATTCTAAACTTGGTCACAGCAAAAATCCCTAACCAGGTCAGCTAATTAACAACAAATTCTTTCTGCTCTGTATCTGAGGCCTTTGTGCACAAGTTCTAAAAAGTACATTGAATGGGGAGTCACTTCAATATATATGAGGTATCTTTTGCTGGTTAATTTTGTGGTGGTTGTTTTTCTTTTAAACCCACCAACCATAAAAAAAATAAAAATCTTACTTTCAGAAATGTACAAATAAGAGGCAGCTCTTAAAATTCATGAAAATCATCTTATTTAAGGCTCCAACTATAGTTCTGTTTTTGAAGCCAGTTGAATTATAACATGAATATACAAAATTTTGCCAGACACCTAATCCCAATGCAGGTAATTGGCAATTAAAGTGAATAGAAGACAATTTTCCCCTTATGAATACACTGCCACAGGTAGGATTAGTTAGCAAAACGGCAATTAATGTTGGCTACCATTTAGAAGAGACTCCATATGCATTAGATCTCAAAAAATTCACCTACCAGCAATTTTCCTTGGAGCATGTGTTGATTTAACTGAAGACTCCTGTATTGAACAACATTTAAAAGTCAATTTCTCTTCTTCAAAGAAAAAGCACAGTGAAAGTTAGTACAGAAATAAGATTATTATATATTTACAGATCTTAAATCAACTAGGGACAAATAATAGGAAGGAAAAGGTCTTCAACACTCAGGAATGTGATGGGACCTCATGTCAGTTGTGACCCCTAGTGTTAATTGAAAAGCAGGCTTTGAGGGTACTACCAGATAGCCATGACAGGGGCCTCAAGTTCAGAGCGCGTAAACGCAAGGAAGGTGGGAGAATTCTCAAGATTCTCACTGGAGTCCTTGACAACATAGTGTAGAGATCCCCACACCACAAAACATATTGTATTCAATAGCAAAAATACATGAAAGTCACTCCCAATAATTTGGTCACCTCACAGTATGGGAAATTTGTCCAGCTTCCCTTTGCAGCTAGCATTTTGTGGCTAATGCCCCAGTAAAGAGGGGTGGAGACATTTCTAGCCACACAGCTTTTTCCTGTAATGAATTTCCTCCAAGAATCATGATGCTCTCTTCCCAGAAACAAGACAGCCACATGACCAGCATATGCCTGAAGCTTCCCCTGCTGCAAGTGCACCATCAAAAAAAGTGAAAGTGGGTGAATGCACAGAAACTATTAGCAAGCATATCAAGTAAAAAGGGGCCCATGAGTATACCCAACAAAGTGAATACAGAAACTAGAACCTAAAGAGTATTTAGCATTCCCACTGTTTGAAACAAAAAGCAACGTACAGCTTCCATTTTGCTGCTGAAAAGCTTCTTGGCAAAATTTCAAATGAGGTAATTAATCTAGTTAATACAGTCATTACTTTGAAGTCAGTTAGACACTTCAAATGCATACTTCTCATAGAACCCATAAAACGGTATTTCCTGAATTAGTATCTGACCTTGTAAGTATTTGCCAGATTATCCTCTGCTGAGGTAGAAGGAGTTCGCTTGGCAGGAGGAGTGTCACTTTCTTCAATATCAATAGCATGCCTTTTCCAAGATGTCTGATCCAAATTAGTAAATGTCTCTATTGATGCTCTCTGCAGTCCTTCTGGTCCTGTACAGTTGTCTAAAGAGGTAGCAGCTTTATCAACTGTAGTGGTCAGTGATCCACTGCTGTATTTATAAATACCATTGTGAAAAGTTACTATCTTAAAAAAATTAAATTTAAAAATCAAATGTGTAGTGTATACAGCAAAGTTATAAGATGATTAAGACACAAATCTTTGCTTATATTCTTATCTACAACATGTACCGCTTCAAACCCTTTTAGGTTTTTATCATTTAGATGGTAAGCCTTGCAAGTTTTTGTTTTTTTAAAACCACAAGGAACTAGGAATTCTCATGACATCTTCTGTCAGTCTTTTTAAAGAAGGTCTTGTTCTTTTCTTTTAACATTTTATTTCATTTTCTGCTTGAACTGTACATTTCACTTAACTCAGTCTAATAGCATATTTTCCTTAATATGCCTGTTAAGTGTTCCATATATGAACACATCTATGAGTTAGTAGGTGACTTGTATGTGAAATATCACATACTAGAAGATGTTTTTGCTCCAGCGAGTTGTAGAAAAAGAACAATTACGTTTTTAATAAAACATGTATTTTGAGATCTGCATTTTGCTGTACTATCCCTGACCACCAAGGGGAATGGGGTTCTTCCTGTCAATTATAGTAGATAAAAGATACAGCTATAATCATGTTAGCAATTGTCAAATATAATTAAACTCCATTTCCGTGAGAACATAAATCAATCCATGCATTACTATTAACTGCATTTTACTGTAATGGTTACAGTATTCTAGATGCTTGAGGTATTTATACTTGCAGCCTCATCTCTATTAGATTTCCACTGCACACCCTTGGGGGAGGATGATAGTCCTGTGGAACAACCAGGACAAAATTGGCCTGCCACAGAAGGGAATTAAGGGAGCAGGGTGAACCTACAAGGATACAGGAGGCCTTGAGAGACATATTCCATTACAGGCCCTCAATAATTTTGCCTATCATCATCAAGGGGCCAAACAGGCAGTAATTCCTTGATGCAGGAGCTCCAGAGCTGTATGGCTGAGGCTCCTTCTTGAGGGGGGAGGATCTTCAATAGAGAGAGGAGCAGGCTTAACAGCTGAGCTTACAGTGCGAATTCAATGCCTAAGAGCTCGGTTTCACACATGCTGTGACATGGAAAGAGAACTATACATTAAGAAAGCATGTCAAAGTTTTAAAAGTGTATTACTATGTTATTCTTAGGAAGATTTCCCTTCCTCTTAACTTACAGTATATTGTTGTAACTTACTATGTGTACTTTTTGTTGCAATATTTCATGGAAATGTGAGACCTATTTCAACAAATGTGATGTGAAAATATGCACTGTCATATTAGATCGGAGTGGGCAAACTAGGGCCCGCGGGCTGGATCCCCCGCGGGATTGCCCCCCGTGGGCCCGTGGGTCCCGCGCCGCTCTCAGAAGCGGCCGGCTCCACGTCCCTGCGGCCCCCGGGCGGAGAGGCAGAGGGCTTCGTGCATTGCCCTTGCCTACAGGCACCGCCCCCCGCAGCTCCCATTGGCCGGGAATGGGGAACCGCGGCCAATGGGAGCTTCAGGGGAGGTACCTGAAGGTGCAGCAAGGGCAGTACATGAGCAGTCCCCCCCTCCAAGGGCCGCAGCGCTTCCTGGAGTGGCACGGGGACGGGGACGGGGCAGGCATGCAGGGAGCCTGCCCCAGTCTCGGTGTGTGCTGCTGCCACCCCAGAGCCGCTTTAGGTAAGCGGCGCTGGGCCGGTGCCCGAACCCCACCTGCATCCCGCCCCCCAACTCCCTGCCCTAAGCCCCCTGCCTGCACCTCGCACCCCTCCTGCACCCCAACTCCCTGCATCCCTGTGCACCCCAACCCCCTGCCGCACCCCACACCCCTCCTGAACCCCAACCCCCTGCCCTGAGCCCCCTCCCAGTCTGCACCCCTCCTGAAACCCCTGCCCTGAGCCCCCTCCTGCACTCTGCACCCCTCCTGTACCCCAACCCCCTTGCCTGAGCCCCCCCATATACCCTGCAGCCCTCCTCTGCCCCAATCCCTTGCCCTGAACCCCTTCCTGCACACCACACCCCCTCCCACACCCCACACTCCCTCCCACACCCCAGCCCCGGCCCTGCATATAATTTCCCCACCCAGATGTGGCCCTCGGCCCAAAAAGTTTGCCCACCCCTGTATTAGATCAATATAATAGGCATACTCAAACCCTTTGTTGTTTTCCTGTACTGCTGTAAGCTTAGTTTGACATCAGTTAAATATTTTTGTCTGTCTTTATTCTAGGAAAGTATTATTAATCAACAGAATGAAAAAATTAAAACAAAGAATTCTTATCACGTTCTGTCATTTTCACCGAAGTGTTCCAAAAAAGGTGAGACCTTAAAAATCTGGAAAAAGTGATTTAGCTATGGAATCCAAAGTACTTTAGAAAATATAAAGGTGCTCAGATTTATAATTTCCATTACTTTTCACCAGAAATGTTCAAGTCAATATAGAACTATACTTTACAAGAGTCCCACTAAAAGAAAATTCAGATGAAACTAAATATGGTGCTGCTGGCACATGACCAAAATATTTAACAAATTAAAACATAGCAGATTTACATAACTGATTTATTGCTCACGGAATCACGATCACATTTCACTGTTTTAGTGAGGCTGATAAATGAGCCAGGTAGTGGTTTCTCCTGCATTTCTTCTTTTAGTTAGTTCCAATGTATTTAACTTTAGAGGCTACAATAAGTTAGCCTGAGAGGCTCAGAAATAAATGCATATTTATCTTGTAGTATATTGATCATTTACCTCTGCTCTCCCATCACATTAGCTAAGCCTGTATTCACTGGAGTGAGAAGTATGGGGGCTGGCAGCAATGGTTCCAAAGCTTGTTCTAGTGACATAGATGCGTCATGGTACTCTCTAGAGTCAGCTGGAATTTCCACCAATGTTAAAATAAAAGTCTGTTCCTCCGCCTCCTCTGGATATTCATTACCACTTCCATTCACTACCAAAACATGTTGAAGACAAGAAACAGATAATTAAACCCTACTATTTAAAGTGTACTATTTAAATGCTAACAGTTGTGTGTTGTATCATGCCCTTCTCTACAATTAGTGTTAGGTTGTCACAGTGTTTGTTTCTCAAGCCAGAAAAGGCTGGGAGTATCGTGGAAACATGCTTGGCCTCTTCAGAGAGAGAAGGGAGGAACCTAGCATCGCTTCACAGTGATCCTTCTAGCTGATTGAGAGCTGTGTTTTGTGTCTGAGGAGAGCCCCAGCCAGTACTCTTCACTCAGAAAGATGAGCACAATAATAAGCAGACGCTCTATAAGCTTGTGCTACGCTAATTAAAATCAGTCAAATCATCCATTATCCACAAAGAAAAGAACCTAATACCACCACCAGTAGCTAACAATTACTCCTTTAGTGAAAGCAGTGGAAGCTTGTTATTTTGGCAGAAGTCCCAGGTTCTAGTCCCACAGACAACCTGTGATGGTACACTGCTACAGAAGGATTGGGCATCAATCCTAACATTCTACAAGTCCATATGATTTTTCCAACAGTCAAACATTAACAGATAGATAGCAGCCAATTGTCACCAGTTAGGATGAATTTAACAAGACAATTAAAGACAGGGAATTAGTTTCCAAATCTAGCAGACATCAGCATTATCCAATTAGCTCTTCACATTGAACTATACAGTAACAAGCTATTAGCATGCTGTATGTAGTATATTTAATGTATCACTAAATTTAGAGTACCCCAAACAAAGTTTGTGAAGAATGGCTTAGAAGGAAAAGACTGAAAATTAAATCTAAATTATACAAAAAAGCTACAACTCTAATATAATGCAGAAACTCCTTGATTTTTGTTGATTTAAAAGTACTACTCCACTCTTAATTCACTTTGCTTCTTTATCTCAGTTAATGTGTTTTGAAAGATGATTCACTATTGCAAGACCTCTGCAATAACAAGGCACAATGAGATAAGGAGCCTGGAGTCACATATGCCTCCATTTTGAAAGTGTAAATTACAACCTTAGCAGTCAGACTAATTCCTTTAAAGTAAGTGTCTCAGATTTCTAATTCAGAGATTTTTTTTTCCTTATTCAAACTGTATTGGTTCTGAATTTTGTTTTTATTCATCTTAGTTTGTTCTATCCACTTGATATCTTCTGCTGCATTCAAATATGTAAGCTTGCTGAGGCAACATCTAAAAATGCTTCAAAACTTAAGTCTCTTCAGTGACTTGTGGCATGAATTTAAATATAAAAAAAAAAAAAAAAAATCAATTATCTGCACATCACTAACACAAGCTACTTTAATATCAAATCATAAAAGATCAATTACATCAATGTTATCATAGAAAGTTCTTAATTTCTTGATCCATCTTTGCATGAGTACTTCTACCATACTAATTTTGTTTTCATTTTATTTTTACTTACACACACACACACACACACACACACACACACACACACACACACACGAAAAAAAAAATTATGAAAAGCAGTTCTGAGACACAGTGACTTAATATTACACCTAGCTGGGCTAGCAAGTATTGCTTTGCTATTTTAGGCCATTCATGTACTGTACCTGAAGTTTCTTTTGTGCTGGTTATGTATTGCTGTTGAAACTCCTGTGTAACTGCCTCAGTCTAGAAAAAGTATTTCAAAAGAAATATTAACAAGCCTGATGAACAACTCTAGAAAACAGAACAAAAGTTTTATGAAAAATTCTTGACTTTTGTTTTGTAAATACTTATCAAGTGTTAGAGTAACAATGCAGAGTAATTTAACCACACCCTATTCAGATTTTGTTGATTTTTTTCCCCAAACTATGCTGAGTATTTAGGATGGAAGGATATAAAGATGATGGGGACTGGAAACATTTGGGTAATTTAACTATAAGCATTATTGTGTGTTCTGCTTATATGTACTTTATCTTCATTCCCTCTAGAAATGGTTTGTTTAAAAAAAAAAAAAAAGTTTACTTTTCCTACAGCACAACCCTGCAAAGCTGACTCATATAATGGATTGATCAGCAGTGCAAAGAGCATCAATTCCCCTACCTATTACGGAAACACTCTGGAGCTTGGAGAAAAACATTGAGCTTAGTCACTCTTCCTCCTTCCCCTTCCCTTTCATGGCAGATTATGTTGCTAAAAAAATAGTATTTTATAGCACTCTTGATGGGGGTGGAGAGTTGTGAGGGCACATTCAGTCCTGCACTTGGTTCCACTTGGGTAGTCAGCTGAGCTCTGAACCGACTGGCACAGGGCAAAACAAAAGAGCTGTGATAATTTAGTCCCTGCTAGCATCAAGAAGGAAGTCAAGAGCTTGGCAATTTACTGGATCTCTAAAATGCCCTTCATTAGATTGAAGTACTGTATATTCAATAACCGAAGTCAAAAGGTTTAAGAAACTAAGAATAGCTAGGAGGGTTTTGGTTTTTTCATTTGTTTGTTAATTGTTAGACAATTAATAGCATGAAAGTTCAATCTAAAAGCTTGTATGCAGTGTTGTTGAAGCCATGTTGGTCCCAGGATATTAAAGAGACAAGATGGGGGAGGGAATATCTTTATTGGACCAAATTCTGTTGGTGAGACAGACAAGCTGACCCGAAGAAAAGCTCTGTGCAAGCTTGAATGTTTGTCTCCCTCTCCAACAGAAGTTGGTCCAATAAAAGATATTACCTCACCCACCTTGTCAATCTAAAATCCTGCCAGAAAAAGGCCAATAATAATTTTTAATAAAATGAGAGAAAGTAGGTATAGAAATGTAAGTCTGATCATAATAGCATTTTGGCAAAACTAAAAGTACAATCTAAGGCTAAAGAATCAAATGTGCACAATTTAACCATGCACACCTCAAAGGGGGAGCACAATTTGGGATATTTGTGTGGACATATCTATGGGTGCATGCAAATCCCAACATTGCATATCTATGCTATGTATATGCATATTATGGTAGTTCAGGGCTAAATTATCCGATCAGGAAAAAGTGATTTAGGATTCATAGAATTTTTTTAGGCCAGAAGGGACCATTAGTTCATCTAAACTGACCTCCTGAATACCACAGGCCATTAAATTTCACTTAGTTACCCAGAATAGATGAAAACTTAAAAAAAAAAAAAAATGTCATTGCCTTCTTTATAGTTTCTCCAAATAACTTCTCTTTTTACAGCCTCTTACAAAAACAGGCATTTCTAATACATCACATGTTTTAAAAAATACAAGTTCTTTTTACCTGCGTCAACTGAACTTCATGCAAGTTGTGCATAACAGTACCAGGCTTATTTTCAGGAAGGACACCAGTAGAACTTTGATTAGGATCATTCTCTAGCCCAGGTAGGAAAATCTCTGCTTTTGGAGATTTTATAGGAGTTTTTAACTCCACTGAAGCTTCCCAAGTCTCTCTTGTCTTGTTTTCTGTCCTGAAAAATGTATACAGTTAATTTGAAACCAATTAAAGAATATGTAACATATACTGTGACATGGGGTAAATCAGACAGTCCGCAAGGCTGTTATGGCTACTGTGTGCTGAAATATTTCCTTTATGCAAAAAGTAAAACAAATCATACAAAAAACAAACACTTTATACCATAAATAGTTTCCTCTATTAAGGAAAAATATTAAAAATCTCCACAGAAATCTCCTAAGGGTAAAATATTTTAGGGAATGCCTTATTTGACAAAACCTCTCCTAGCTCAGTCTCACAAGGCATCCAAAGTGAGACATTAGCTGCAAGCACAGTCAAACAGCCCACAAGTGTACCATGACCTCCATAAATTTCATCCGAAGCATCTATCAGAAAAATGGACCTAGTTGCTTTCTCAGTTCCTGGGACTCAATAGTGGCTACTCTGCCAAACATACAAATAAAAGTTTTGATTCCATTAGCCTTACATAAAGGATATTCAGTACATAAAGGCCTTTAAAAAAAAAAAAAACCTACCCAAAACCCCCCCGCCACACTGTGGAACTAAAGTCGTGCATCCAAAACAACTGCGGACACCATTGCCAGTTTCCCACAATTTAAATGTATATTTGTATGTACATCTCCCTGTGTTATGCATCCATTTGAAATTCATATTTTTGAAAATTTAGTCCAAAACATTTAAGACACATACCAATTAGCATATGAATAAAGGATTTTTTCATATCTGTTAACTTCATCTACTTACTCAGCAAGGTCTGTGCTTCCAGATCCAAAATTCTGCAGACCTGCAGAACTGTTCTCAGCTGGTCTGACCTTCCATTCTAAATCCACTTCCTGCTCTTCTGTGGTCTCTCTTAGAGCTTTCCCCTCTAAGATTTTAAAAATTAAATTAAATCATGTTCATTATTGTGTGTAATATTTTGCTACCAACAGCAAGAAGACTTACTGTTTGAATGCTTTACACTACCATGTATGCATTAGCTTATGGGACTACTTACAAAAATACTACAAAGACAAATATAGTTACACTTAAAGAAGAGATACAAGAACAGGAGACAGATATGGAATTTAATAGTTGGACACTCTGCTGTTGAAATGTTGATGCATGCCTGTAGACATGAACAGGAAGCTGAGTTTTCAATTTGTTTTAGTTATATGGCCAGGATTTTCAGAAAAAAAGACACCTAAAAAGTTAGGCTCTTAAGTAGGGTTGGGCAAAATATTTCAGACAAATAGTTTAAAAACGCGGTTTCAATTGATCTGAAACAATTTGCAAATTTGCCATGAATGTGCCAAATAGTTTTATCCAGAAATAAAAATTTGGCCTAGAGTCACAAAATGACTGAAGGAGGAGAAAGCCACCTTCTAACTTTTAGCCCGATGGTTATGGAACTCACCTGGGTGAAGGAAGACCTGGGTTCAAGTCCCTGATTCAGAGCATGGATCCAAACCTATGTCTCCCACATCAGTGCCCTAACCATCAGGCTGCAGAGTTATTCTTACCCACTCTGTCTGGCCCAATGCCTATTAAGGTAGTTTTTACAACATGGAACAGCTTCAAAGGAAGAGATGGAGACAAATTCACCCCAGAATACCCTACAGCTTTGTGGTTAAGGGACCTCTCTTGGGATGGGAGAAAGTCAGGTTCAAATCCAAACTCTGAAGCTGGATTTAAATCCAGGTCTCCTCTCTCCCAGATGAATGCCCTAACCACTGGGCTTAAAGTTATAAGGCTGCTGCCTCCTCACCTTTTAAAAATGCCTGTAAATACGTTGTTTCATTAGAACCCAAACTAATTTTTGATTCACTGAAATTTTTGGATTTGATTTGACCCACAATTTTTTTATCCAATTTTTCAGATATGCCAGCCTATCAAAAAAGGTGATTCACCCAGATCTACTCCTAATTCCATATTTAGGAGCCTAACTTTAGGCTCCTATTTTCTAAAGCTTGGAAATAAAGGAGAAGCTCACCACTTTGAACCTGCTTGAATTGCTCCACATCAGCATTTGGACTAAGAGATTTCTGATGAACATTCCTGTTTGTTCCCAGTACTCTGCTAAGATTTGGTTTAGGCTTAGGAAGTCTGCATCTTGCAAACCTTGGTGTACTATTCACTTTGGGCACAGGGTGATCACTACAAAGAAATAGAAAAACACCATAAAATGTAACTTAACCTTTCCATTCTTTAATGTGTTTGAATTCAGTGTCAAGAAGAAATTAATACCAGCAATGAGGGCCGTAATGGTGGGAGGAGGGGGGCAGGGGAGGCAGCTGGGCCCATGAACAAGAGTAGTGATGGAGTTAGCAGGAAAATTGGGCAGGCTGGCAGGAAGAAGAGAAGCAGAAAGACCAGTTGAACTAGGAGAACTTTGAGTGACTGGAGCCTGAGTACAGCTGTAATCATAGTGATCAACAAGGACCAGAACAAGTAGGTTTACAGCAGCTAGGTAACTCAGAATTTTAACTCTGCAACTGAAATCTTTAAAAAATGTAATATTTTGATTAAATTTAACCTTAAAGTAGAAGTAGGTCATCTAATTTTGAAGGTTTGGGGGTTGATTTTTGGAGGGGTCAATTTGGGTTAAAACAAGCAGGTGAAGTTACACATTAGCACTGTCGGGTTTTGCTTCAATGTAAAGATCTTAAACTTTTGCAGGGAACCTACGTTTGATCATTTTTGCAAGCAGCTAAAAAAATTCAAGAACTTTCTAAACAAGTTGACATGATTACCAATTGCATTTTGAAAATAAGTTCATTGAGTTACTTCATTAACTTGAAGTTCATCTTTAAACAATATTCCACAACAGAAAGCAGGGCAGAGCCACGTGCTCTAGCTGTGGCAGAAGCCTTTTTTGCTATTAGTTATAGATGTACAGTGGCCACCTGAAAGCCTTTAAGCTGCATGACAAGTGACAGGAAGCAATGAAATTTAAACCACTGGCCTTTGTCTGACCAGTGACGCAAAGTCTTCAGAAAAAAAGGCCAGATAAAATAATGGCCAGACATGTGAGGTAAGTTTTAAAATTCATTTTTTCAAGCATATCCTTATTTTAAAATGGGGATTCAGGAATTGGAAGTTGTACATTTCCATCACTCTTATTTTAACCTAAACATAAAGTCCCTATTTAAAAGGGAAGAAAAAAGGACAGGTATCCATATGAAGTGGAACTACATAACCTATGAGCCGTAATAGCTAAAACAAGACTACTTGTCAACCTAAAAGTATGGTGGCAGAAGCCTTAAAGGGGAGCCCTGTCAAAGAATAGATCACTGGGGGGGAAGATTAAAGAAAAACAGTGAAATTAACCTGCTGGGTGCAGCATCTTCCTTAAAAAAAATTTCTACACTTGCTTCTTTTCCAGAACTTTGGTCCTGTAGAATGACTTTGTTTCCATCCTCTGAGGGAACCAGTTCATTATTAGTAGGTGAAGAAAGTGACTGATTACTTGGGGCCGCATTTTGCTCTGTATTAGGCTGGTTTATGAGGCTATCAGCCATGTGCAATTCATCTTGATCAGGAAACACCTGTGTCCTTCCTTGTTTAAAAATAAAGGCATAATTAAAAAGATGCAAGTTTTATGTCTCCACATGAAGCCATTTACAGGTAGATCAACCATAGGCCTCATTTTGAATAACGGCATTCTACAGAGATACAAATTCAAATCCTGGGTAAAAGCACATCTCGATGTCTAGATTTTTTGTTGGTTAGAGTGCAGGGATTACCTCTACATATGTTAAAAGTCAACCTAATGCCAGGTTAATAAACAATGATTTAACAGTATAACTAAACAGAATGGAAAACAATTTTTCTGGTTAAAGAAGTAAGACAAAACAGATGATGGACTACTATGGACCACATAAGCCTGGCTCTTCTTCCCTGGTCTGACTCATGAGACAGTAGTCTCTGTGAGACCTACACAAAACACAAAAAGAATCACAATACAAAAATCTAGGGGGCTAATGCTTTTTCTGGATCTCCTTTAGCATATCTTGTCTTTCCATGTTTATTTTCTAGAGTATAAGCTCTCCAGGGTATAGAGTGACTTGATATTTATGTCTCAGCTGCACCAATCACACTACTGAGCATAACCAGGTTTTGGGGATTCAAGGATAATGAAAATAATCTTAGTACTAGTTTAATACTTAAAAAACAAAAACAAAAACAAAAAAAAAAACTGTCATTAAAATGCTTTTAATAGATCAAGTTTCATCTCCCAAAAGAGACTGGATGAGGATACCAAATCTTCAACCTTTGAATCACCGTTTGTTTTTTGTACAATTTTGTTTTAAAAATTAACAAAAACACTTAGGTGAACAACCTGAGTGTCCTATCAAAGAAAGAACTAATACATTTTATCCATTGAAAGATCAGTTAAGAACAGTAAGAATTCAGTAAGAATTTTCCTAAAGCTTCAGCAGCCAATTGAACCTCTATGAAGAGCTGAAGGCTGAAGTGAAAATTAATTTACTTCCTCTGCCCCCTTGCTACCAGTGACGGTTACATAGTGCTGCAACAGTTCTTTCAATATGGGTGGCAGTGGTGTTGCCATCTATACTGGCTTCTTTTTAAAAAAAATTTTTTTTTGATTCTGCTCCCCCACTCCTCCTCTGCAGTATTGCCAACTGCTGCTAACTCTAAGCAAGAGACCAAACCTGAGAACAAGTTCTGGATCTATCTCAGAAAAGGTAAGACAATAAAATGACCTAGACTTAAATTTTTAAATCATAAAATGATTCATCTGGGTGTGTGGTGGCATGAGTACTTTATTAGCCTGAGTCTGAAGTAACTGTAGTACATAGCAGTGAACATATCCACATACACACCTGCAAAATCCTTCTTAGTGGTACAAACAGAGGACAGCAGAGAAAAAAAGGTGCTGAATGCCCATTATGTACAAGAGTCATAGTGCCGGTATGAAATGAGTTGATCAGGGCATGTATTCCATGTGATGAGGTACATATCAGTGTTTCACTGAAAAAGAGCTCTACGCACCTCTGGCGAGCATGTAATGCAGTTGGCAGTATTTTGGCTAGGGGCTGGACCACTTTACCTCACTAGATAGTGAATCATGGCCCAATACATCCTCCTGTCTTTCATACTGAACACTAAGGAAGAATCCAGACCTGCTGCTATAGCGACAGGATATGAAGGAAGGGTTATGATGACCTCTACCCAAACCCCAACCCACAAGTGAACCCAAGACACACACGGAAGGATTTGGCAAATAAATAGATCATACCTTGAGTGCTTATTTTTAACTGAAACATTGGATCTCCCATTGCAAGTAATGTCATGGCAGCTTCAGTGCTTCCATCATTAATCCCTGCAAAATTGTTCACATACATGTAAAATCATAAGCACAGTCATTTCCTTAGAAGTTTAACTAAAACATGATCAAAAAGCGGATGTTACTGTCTTTGCTAAATTGAAACAAAACATATTTTTTCAATTTGTTTCCTCTTGGGGATTCCAGACATTAGTAGCAATACTTAACACATATAGTGATGGTCATCCACTAAACTAAAGGTGTTCTACAAACATTGAGTAAGCAGCAGTATTCTCATTTTATAGAGAGGGAAACATATGGACAGAGGAAGCAATTTGCTCAGGTCACACAGATGTTTGGGTCTAGACCCAGGTCTTATGACTCATTTCTGTGTCCTATCCACTGGATGACAGTACCCCCCTTCTTTCATCTTCCACTACTTGGTAACATAGGATACAATATTTCTGTGTTCCAAAGCCATCACACTGAAATAAGCCCATAAACTCCAGTAGGGTTTTGCCTCTTCACTGAAAATGGTTATTTACCTTTAAACAAAGCCATCTCTTAGCAAAGTTTCAAAATGCAATTCTAAAAACCAATGGATCCATTTGGGGCTTTTTGCAATGGGGAAAAAATATTTTACTGCCCTAGGAGCAGACCAGGAAGCAATTTCTGACTCAGTCATGATGTTTCCCTGTTTCCCCCATAGTATGTGCTGGCTGGCAAGTCTGCGAGAGTGATGGTGATTGGTACCAGAGCCATGGATTTGCCCATTTCTGTACCTTTCAGGCATTGTTTCAAGCCCCTGAAAAGGTTGCTTTTCCCCTAGCACAGCTACCAACAGCATGGGTAACCAGTGCATGGGAGTGAGTGGGCACAGGACAGCCACAATCTGGATGTAAGCCAACAGCCTTGTAACTCTTGGTTTGTCTGATGGACTTCACTGAAGAAGTAGTCAGTTAGCTCAGCTCCTCCAAAACTATGTATAAGACCTCATCAACTCACGGTTGGCTGGCTTGGTCTATGTTAAGACAGAGGGACAACCAAAAATAAGTGTCTCTTGTATTTACCTGTGTCAGTCTCTGGATTTTCATGTGTAGTCACTTCCTTAAAGAAAAGATATAAATGATCTGTCAAATACAGCCAAAATCCCAAATAAAATTAATCTTCAATGTTAACTTAGTCCCCAATGGCCAATTCTCGACTGCAAAGTTCAGCATGAGCAATCTGCTCTGATTGAATGGGGTTGTACAGCATCAACATTGGACTGACAAAGCCATCTAAAGAAAACTTGCACACTTCCTGCTCATGCCATGCCCGTCTATTATACTATACTATGCCATACAATTACTATCTTACATGTGCTCTGATGTTTAACACTATAAAAATTAAACATACTATATAACCATAAGCATATTACTAAAAAGGAATGCTTACAATTTGTGAGGCATTCAGATTTTCATCTCTCTGCATCACAGGCTGGACAACCACATTTAAATCATGAGACAGATATTCAGCAGTAGTAATGCAGGGCACATCTGGGACATTCACAGATATTTCAAGCTGCAAAAATCAAAGTTATTCCTATTTATTCAAAAAAGAAAGCTGTCTAAAACTTGCAGGAACACATAAGAAAATGGCTGTATATGCACATGATGTAATACTATTTTCTTCTAAACCAAATATTAAAATTAGTATCTAAAGTAATCTATGATTTTGGGAAAGTGTCTGGATTTAAAGTAAATTATGCCAAATCTGAAATGCTAGCTGCAAATTTGCCAGACTCTGAAAAGTCATTCCTCCAGAAAACACTTGGGTACAAATGGGCAACAAATTCTATACGATTCCTGTGAATTCAAATTTCAAATAACCTAGAAGAGCTCTAGGATTTTAATGTCAAATCACAACATCAGCAAATGACAAACGATCTGGGATGCTGGTGGAAGTATGCAATTTCTTGGTTGGGAAAAACAGCCAGAGTGAAAATGAACATTTTGCCAATAGTCTCTTTCTTGTTTCAAAATCTTTCTGAGATTATCTCAGATAAAACCCTAGCAGGAATACAAAGGATGTTAGAATGTATATGGAATAAGAAAAGATCAAGAGGAAACCCACATCCCAGGTGAGTACCAGGTTCAAGTCCCTGATCTGAATCAATTCAGACTGCCCAAAAATTCAGTGCATGGACTTGAACTCGACAACATATTAAATATGGATGTAGGAGACACAGGTTCCAGACCCTGCTCTGAATTAGGCTATTCAGGGGGTGTTCTCTCTCACTAATCCTGCATCTGAGAAACCTTCCTGACAAAAAAGTTTTCCCAAAACTAATACGATTCCTCAAAAAGTTTCAGTTTTGACAAATCAGCATTTTCCAACAACAACAACAAAAAAACATTTAGTTGAAAAATTCCTAACCCGCTGGAATTTACCAGTTGACTTGAAAGGGAAAAATACTGTTATGAGCTGGATGAAATCTTGTTATGGACTGAGTTAAAACCTTTGTCGAAACTGATGCGTGTACCCACTCTTCTCTTAAGATAAGTGTTTCTTACAACTACGGGACCACACCTACAACAAGGCCTAATAGAAACAAGCACCATGTGGGCAAGGGGGGTTCCACTGGGCATTGTGTCCAGGTGGGTGGGTGAGATGGGGTGGTGGAAAGGCAGAATGCACAGAAACTGAAGGTATGTCTACACAGCCGATGTTAAAGCACTACCGCGGCAGCGCTTGAATGTGGCTGGGTAGTCGCGGCTCCAGCGCTGGGAGAGACCACCCCCACGAGGGGAATAGCCACCAGCACTAGGAGCACAGCTCCCAGCACTGTAGCACTATCTACACTGCCACTTTACAGCGCTGAAACTTGCATTGCTCAGGGGTGTGTTTTTTCACCCAAGGAGGGGTGGAGAGGGACACAGACAAGCAGCAGCCAGTAAGCACAGTGAGACTGGGAAACACTAGAGAGAGCACTTTTGGGTCTGGCGTTGGCTAAAGAGGCTTGCGGCTGTAAACTAAGGTTATGTCTATGCTACGGACCTTACAGCAGACAACTGTACCGCTGCAGCTGCATCGGCATAAGGTCTCCTGTGTAGCTGCTCTATGCCAGCAGGAGAGTGCTCTCCCATTGGCATAATTAAACCACCCCCAACAAGAGGCGGTAGCTATGGCGGCTGGAGAGCATCTCCCACCAACACAGTACTTTCCACACTGGCACTTTTGTTGGTGTAACTTATGTCAGTCAGTTTTTTCACACCCCTGACCAACAAAAGTTTTGCTGACAAAAGCGGTAGTGTAGACAAAGCCTAAGAAACTACTTCTTTTGTTCTTGGTTCCTCCTGTGTTCAGAGAAACAGGAATTTGTGCATTTTCTGTAAATAAACAAAACTGCATAAAAAAATACCCAAAACCAATTTCTACTCCAAAATGGAACATTCGCAGGGCCCCAAAACTTTGACTAGTTACTTGAGTTGATAAGGGGCAACAGTACTATGTACTAGAGATGGAGCTGGTAGAACCGCCTATTATTAAGACTGTCCAAAATTTCCCATTATAAGACCCGGTTTTCAGTGGCTTATAACTCAGCTAAACGTAACTGTTCCAGCTGAAATTTTCCATGCTAGGTGCCTGCCCCAGGCTGACATTTATTTAGATTTTTCAAGTTTCAGCAAAAATAATTCAGACATTTCAGAGAATGAGATTTGGGAAAAACACAGTTTTGACAGGTTAAAAAAAAATAACCATTTTGTTGAGAAGCTCTTATACCTCCACACTTTGAAGCAGGGATTTGAAATTTGGCAAGGACTGCCTTTGAGTCAGGGAAAGGCTTTTTGCTGTTGTACTGAAAACCTGCTCAATTTGGCCAAGCTATAAACTTAAGAAAAATTTCCATCTGCACAGGCTCAGTAGACACTTGCTAGAATCTGGCAGGTAATTTCTCTGAATGTTCTGTCTGCACTGAGCATGCTCCATCCCCTCAGAGTTCTTGTGCGCCAACCGGACCATGCATCCACCATCCCCACAAAGCAGCTGAGAATGCTCCAGCCCAGTGTTGCAGGGACTGAGCAGGGCTCTCTCTGCAATTGCTTCTCTGGGCTACACAACTGAGAGCTAAGAGAGTCTCTCCTATGCTCTTACTGCTCCTACTCCCAGGCAACTTGGAGAAGGAAACATCTGACTTGAATGCAGAGGGAACAAGAGTCAAAGTGGTGGCTTATTTTTTGTGGGTCTGTTTTCATTTTTTTGGAAGGAGGGTGGGGGTGCAAGAAGCCAAGGAAGTGAGGAGAAGAAGGAAGAAGACTTGACTTGCAGAGCAAAACGATTGGCAGCTGTGGTGGAAAGATGACTGACTGGGAGAAGGAGCTGGGGGTCAAGTCTGGGAGTGGCTGGGCAAGGAACCTGGGACCAGGACAAGGAGCAAGGGAGCAAGACTGGAAACTGAGCAAAGAGACTAGGATGAAGAGGCAGGGGAGGAGGAGAAACGGGACTGAGATAAGGACAGGGTGGAAGGGACAAACTTGAAGGGGTCAATGAGGGAGTGGGGCAGAAAGGTCCATGACCACAGAAGCATACTTCCCTCCAGAACCTAGAATGGAACCAAAAAGATTTTTGAGTCTCAACATTCTTCTGATGTCAGTAAGTACACGTGAAACCCAGTGGCAAAGTGTCTCTCTGTCTCATCTCCCTCTAGTGGTTGGTCCACGGAGAATGACAGCTTACTACTGCTACCAGTTACTCTTAGCTCAAGTGGCAGAGAGTTATGATGTGGCCCTAAAGGTTCCAACCCAGCTCATGACCCATGTGAGTGTCAATGGTTTGACATGATAGAATTTGTTTTCTGTGGGTTTTTTTTTAAAAAAGCCTAGAAAAAATAATATGTGGTCATGTAATTAAAGATGATTATGGTGAACTTACTCAAGGGGCCCAAATTCAGACTGCACAGGCAACTTTAATTCTAGCATTTTCTAATTTTGGGTGCTTCACTTTGCAACCTTAACATTCTTTTAACAGTTTTTTGAGTGCAATACATACATTAATTAGAATGTAAATATGTATAATGTCATGAGACAAGATTGTTATGGTCAGGTATGTTTCTTGAGAGAGCAAACAGAAGAACACAGGTTGCTCTGATTCTGACACTCAAACATGAAATTGAAACGTTTGCATCCATTCTGTCTTAGGCCGCAAGCTTGCAATGTACTCTGCAAAGGTGGATTCCTGTGCTCACAGAGAGCCCCATTGAATGAAACAGGACTCACCCAGAGCCTCCCACACAATACTCATTGCAGGACTGGGCTTTAGGCTAAGTTCCTTGAGCAGCCTGAACCAAGAACACATGCCACAAATATTAATGCCACTCCACCACCAGTCCATTTGTCAATTAAACAAAACAGAAAAACTGCTGACCCACAACATGTTTGTAAAATAAATTGCTATTGTTACTACAACTCAAGCGAAGGCAAGTGTGAGAAAAGCTGGTGGCAAAAGGAAAGACTACACTCCAAAACACCAGAACTCTACAAAACAAGTCAACATGTCATACCTCTTCCATGGTTTCCTCAATCTGGACAGGAATAGGTTTTGGAGATCGAAGACCTACAGGAACAAACACTGGAGCTTTGTTTACTTCTTCTGGTGAAAAACATTCATCTTCATCATCCAGCTCAAATTCATCTGCATCATCTTCATCCTCCTCTTGAGAAGCTCGGAGGGTCACCAAGGTTACCTTTGAACTCCCATGTTCTTTCCCAGATCTCTTGCTGTGGGCCGTTTTCAAGCCTTTGCCTTTGGTAATAGTTGGTTTAATCTTTCGACGTGGTTTTCCCTTTTCACAGCGATCAACTTCACATTCAGAGGCAGAAGAAGTTCTTAGCTCAGATACACGTTTTGGCAGGCCTGCCTGTTCGGATGACCTTCTAGGCTGCCTTCTAAATGGATATAAAAAAAGAAATTCACTTTTTAGTAAAATAGCAATATTAAACATAAAAAGGAATTAATGTTACAGTCGCAGTGAACTCATGTGGTAATTGGTATTATGACCAGTGTTGAGACATGATAATTAATTACGATCATACACTGGGAAAAATAAAATCAGTACTTTCCTTGGTCAGCATTCCCATTCCTTTGTGAATGTTCCAAGTACTGATATTGTATTGTGGATATAATTAGTTTCCTTATCTTTTAACTTCAGGCAGAAATACTGGAAAACTGTGCTGTGCAGTGAAATTTAAAGGACCTGGTAATTTATGGCAATAGCGAGGAGGGGATTGTTTCCTTTTTATTTTGGAGAATCAAGAGTGCGTGCGCGCATGTGTATTTTACAATCTGTGAACCCTTCAGCAGGCAGCTTAGTCAAGAAAGAGCCTATTCTCCACACTGACTTTGCAGGAGAAAGACTCAAGTACAGTTGGGTGACAGAAGTGGTCAAGAGTTTTAAGATGAGAATTCCATCCATGAAAAAACATCTGGGGAATAAGTATGAGTGCGCATGCCCACACACCCCCATCCACCCCACATCAGAAGAGTGGGCAGACAGAAAAAGTGAGAAACTTAACTATGGGATCTTAGTTGGGCTAGTATCATTATTAAACCCTTAGTTACTTCACCTTATCAGTTTGTCTGAGGTCTTCTCCTGAGCATAAAGAGGCTGAGAATCTTCCTCTTGTTCTATTTGACTTTCACTCTCCGACAATCTCTCTGGAGACTGGAATTTACAGGACTGCCTGCTCCTTTTAGGAGGCACTGCCTCAATACTGTCTGCAGACTCTTTTTTCCGTGGAACCTCTGTGGAGGATGCAACTTCTACTAAGTTACCAGATGTGTGCTAAATAGACATGAAGACAATGACTGCCAAAGTAAGTTTATATTTGATAGTGGACAATGCTATACTAATGGTATTAAGAGTTTTCCATTATCTCTAAATAGATCCTTTCCAAAAAAAAAAAAAAAAGCATTAGTCAAATTCTTGAACACAATCCAAAACTGTAACCTCTGCTTCTTTCTTAGACAACCTTTTTCTAAGCTAACCTGGCTGCCCAGCTGAACCAGAAGAGCACTTGAAATAACTATTGACTACTGCTCCCAGTTGTGTTTTAGGTTTTTTTGTACAGCCGTATAACCCTTCGTACTCAACTTCATGTTACTGCTGCTAATTGCCACACCTGTGGTGGCCCATGCCAAATTACAGCAATCAGGAAGATTGACACTCAGGGCCTACACACTTTCTAGATCAGGGGTCAGCAACCTTTCAGAAGTGATGTGCCGAGTCTTCATTTATTCACTCTGATTTAAGGTTTCACGTGCCAGTCATATATTTTAACGTTTTTAGAAGGTCTCTTTCTATAAGTCTATAGTATATAACAAACTATTGTTGTATGTAAAGTAAATAAGGTTTTTAAAATGTTTAAGAAGCTTCATTTAAAATTAAATTAAAATGCAGAGCCCCTCGGACCAGTGGCCAGGACCCAGGCAGTGTGAGTGCCACTGAAAATCAGCTTGCATGCCACCTTTGGCACGCGTGCCATAGGTTGCCTACCCCTGTTCTAGATCCACCTAGGAAGAGGAAACTGCTTGTATTTTCTGACAAAGCAAAGACAGTGGGATTAGGAGAATGAAGGATGGTTTCTTCTCTGCCCTTGCATGAAATGAAGAGAGAATGCTACAGCAATTTAGATGAAGTGACTTAAACAGAACAGTAGAATCACAGAAACGGAGGGCTGGAAGGGACCTCATGAAATCATCAGGCCTAGCCCCCTATAAAGGGGCAGGGCCAAGTAAACCTAGACCATCCCTGACAGTTATTTGTCCAAACTGTTCTTAAATCCTCCACTGATGGGGATTCCCTTGGAAGCCTAGTTAATACCTGGAATACCTTGATAGTTAGAAAGTTTCTCCCAATATCTAACCTAAATCTCCCTGGCTGCAGATTAAGTCCATTACTTTTGGTCTTACGTTCAGTGGCACGGAGAACAAATGATCACAGTCCTCTTTATTACAGCACTTAACGTATTTGAAGACTTATCAGGATCCCCCTCAGTCTTCTTTTCTGAAGACTAAACATGCCCAGGTTTTTTTGTTTGTTTGTTTTTGTTTTTTTAAAACCTTTCCTCATTCAGACATACCAGAAAGTTTGCCTAGAGCAGAGAGATCCCTACATTAAGTGGCCACTCCTAGCATTTTGTTGTTGCTGTTTCCTTCAGGAGCTCTGCTGACATAGAACCCTTGAACTTGTTCTTCCGAGATGATGGCAAAAACCCATTAGCCATTGAAGTTCCCTGAGAAACCTCCACCATAAAACCCAGAAAATTATTAGGGGGTGAAAGAATAATCTTCACTTTATCCAGTAAATCACAATCTCAACTAGTCATCGGTTGGTTCAGTTCAGTAAGAACATCTCACTTTTTAAATATGTATCAATAATTGTACATCATCAGCTACAGGCCTTTGGCTGGAATAATTTACAGGCCCAAAATATTTAGTGAATCTGTCAGACGGCAGGGCTTCTCTTCAGCTTGCTAAGGACTCTCTGCCATGCCCACAGTCTCTTTTAACACAGTTTTATTGTCCAAATGTATCAAAACAGTCCCGCACTCAGCTCACCCTTTACATCTCAGGCTCTCACTGTCTCCCATTCCAGGGGACTCTAGCAATTCTGCTGCTTCCTAGCTCTCTCAGCCAGTTTGACACCCCATCCCCCCGATCTCTCGCTGACCCTTTATAGACCCAGATGCAGCCCTGCCCCCTTAATTGGCCCAACTGGCACAGAAGCACCGGACCTATTTCAGTTACAAGGGCAAGCCATGCTGTGACAGAATCATATACTGAGGAGGAAATAAAAAAAGTCTGAGTTGTACATTGCAGACAACAGAAATAGAGTGAAGCATCCTATGTCTAGGGTTACCATATTTAAAAAATAAAAAAAGAGGACACTCCACGGGGCCCTGGCCCCGCCCCTTTCCCACCCCCGGCCCCGCCCCAACTCCGCCCCTTCTCCAAAGTCCCCGCCCTAACTCCCCCTCCTCCCTCCCAGCCACGCGAAAAGGGCTGCCCGAGCGCTACCGGCTCCATGGTTTGCCGGACAGCCCCCAGACCCTGCGCCCCCAGCCGGTGCTTCCCCAGCGCAGCTGGAGCCCGGGAGGGGAAGCGCCCAACCGAGGGCGCAGGGTCTGGAGGCTGCCCGGCAAAACGTGAAGCCGGTAGCGCTCGGGCTTCGGGCAGCCCCCATGCCTCTGGACCCTGCGCCCCCGGAGCCCGGGAGGGGAAGTGCCCGGCCGGCGGTTCAGGGTCCGGAAGAACGGGGGCTGCCTGAAGCCGGTAGCGCTCGGGCAGCTCGGCTTTAAACAGAGCCGAAGAGTCAGGGGAGGAGCACAGCAGCCGCGGGAGGGGAAGTGCCCGGCCGGCGGTATTTTTCCCGGACATGTTCGTCTTTTTGGCAATTCCCCCCGGACGGGGGTTTGATTACCAAAAAGCCGGACATGTCCGGGAAAAACCGGACGTATGGTAACCCTACCTATGTCAGCTCAGTGCTATCCCGGAAATAAAAATAAAAAATAAAAGCCTCAACAGGTTGCCTGAATTATGTAGTTCCACATTCACTAGTATTTAATATATAAGCCACAAAAGACCTTGTGTGCATACATACAGATTTTAAGCAGTTGTGGTTATGAACAGCTGCCTTTATTTGTATTGTTGAGTGTGTAAAAGACACTTATTTACATTTGCAGGTAATGAAATTACGGAATATTTAAGTGAATGAAGTCACTGATGGCAAATCAAAATGTAATGCAGTAAAACATAAAAGATGAAACATTTTCTTTTAAAATACTTCTAAACTACGTAGGCTTTGTGCTCGTTATTTTTACATCAATTCACCACTGGCAATGAGATTCAAAGAACCAATTTAACCTCTGATATCCAGAAAGTAGATTCTCCAAAATCCATAGGTCATAAGAAGAAGAAAGCAGAAGAAAAGAATTCATTCACTGACGTAATAGGCTGACCTAGATCTGATGTTCAGTACTTACCAGTAATGAGGTTAGGTTTTCTGATTTTATACCACATGATACCAGACCTTCTTCCGTATTTGTAGCTTCAGTCTTTTCCTCAGTTGTGTTTTCTCCCTCTTCAAGGGCTTCTTTCTTTCTTGTTGCTCTAACTAGGTTTGGCTTTGGCCTCCGTAAATGGCCCCTCACTAGCTGTGCAGGTTTTATAGCACTTGGTTTACTTTCTTCTCCAGAACTGGACCTAGGAAAATATTATGATTGTACATATTAGTAGTCACCGACCATTAAAATAGCTTTTGCAAATCTACTGTACTAGCCTAACTATATGTAACATCTGCACAATGTGAACCAGGAAAAAAAAGTCGACTCCCATAAATGTTAATCGCATACAGTATTTTAAGAGGTCCACTCAGGGAAAAAGGAAGATATGAAAAGGGAAATTGCCTGCACATCATTTTCAGTGGTGGATGTTTCAGTTTTCTTTGTGGCAGTACTGGGTTTTTTGAGGGGAAGGGGAATGTTTGGGGGGGGGGGGGTGCAGGAGAGGACAAGCCACTGTGGGCTCAAGGTGCCCAAAGCTAACCCAAGTGCAAGTCGAATTTTCCCCCCCCCCCCCGAACAAATAGATAGCGGATGAAAAGATGTCCTATTATCATCATTTGTTTCTCTTGGGACAGAAGAGGGGAAAGTCTTCTCTGATACTAGGGTATTGGTAATGAAGAGTCTGAACTTATTCCATAAAATTGATTTGAGGGTTCTGAAGATTGGAAAGTTTCTGCAATTAGAAAAAGAAAGAATCCAAGGTCTGGCCAAATTAATACGGAGGTACGTGTTACTGATGTAGAGAAAAATCGCATCTTGGCATGATGCACTGTCTAATGACTTAAAGCAAACAACACTGGCCAGTGGAGTAATATTTTATGGCAAACAGAAGCAGGATAACATTGCAGGAATTCAGAATGTAATCAAATCAGGTTATGAGAAATCTGATGAACTGGATAAAATGAAGGGTTGGCATTCATCCCTACCTCTGATTTTGTTGCTTTCACTATGGCCAAGAGGCTGCCAAGAAGTGGTCCTTCAGTCTGGCTATATTAAGAACTATACAGATTACAAATGCCTCTTCAAACACAAGGAATAAATCCTTAAACTAGTCAAGGAGGTTGGCAAAATTAATGTAATAGCAATGGTAGCAGATGTCAGGGCTTTGCAGGTCAACATCCCATAAGAGAAGAAATAAGTGAATCTGGATATAGCATGAATACGACTTGTTCTTTTTATACATACACAGTCCTTGATCAGAGGTGGGCACAAATGGCATGCAGACAGTCCCAACTTTCAAAGGCCTAAGCCTAAACATCCATGCCTGGTTCCCACAGAATAACTATGCCTCAAAAAGTGGACTAGTTGGTGACATCGAGGCAGAGAATAAACTCCCTTGCTGCTTGCCACAGCTCCACCAAAGGGACACATACAGGGAAAAAACAAACAAAACCAAACCAAAGCTAAACAATATTATCAGGGCAATTTTCTTCCAAGATTAAAAATGTGCTCGCACAGCAAGAAAACAAACTTTAAGACTATGTAATGGTGCCACCTGGTGATCCCTGCCATAACAAAAGTTATATATTACTGATAAAGCTTTATAATACTTACAATTTTTAAACGTGAATGGATTAGTACAACAGTGTTTTAAAGACCATTCATTTATGAAATATGAACGTTACCTTTCAGAATAATTCGGAAGCCTGCTCTCAACATCTGTAGACATACAACTCTTTCTTTGATCGCTCTGATTGTTGCAGCTCAAAGATTTCTCAAGGGAGCAAAGTTTTTCTGATTGAATGCTTCTTTTTGGTGAGGTGACCCCACAGGAATCTGAACCATCTTTTTGGGCCAAATCCACTTCAGCCTTTAAATTATTTTAGAATAGCAAAAATATTAATATTACATATGGTATTTGTAAAGAACAAAAAAGCATTCTGAGTCAGGGATGGCTCTAGGATTTTTGCCGCCCCAAGTGGAAACAATTTTGGCCGCCCCCTCCCGCCCCCCCGTTTTTTTCTTACCCCACCCCCGGCCCCGCCTCAGCTCCGCCCCTTCCCCAAATCCCCAGCCCTGCCTCCTCCCCCCCAGGCTCTCAAGCCTAGGAGGGAGAGGGAGAAGCGGCGCACGTGCTACAGCCACTCGGAGTCTCCCCCTCCCTCCCAGGCTCTCAAACCTGGGAGGGAGGGTGAGCAGCGGCGCGCAGATCAGCTGTTTCGCGCGCCGCAGCCGCTCGGGATCTCCCCCTCCCTCCCAGGTTTGAGAGCCTGGGAGGGAGGGCGAGCAGCGGCATGCAAATCAGCTGTTTCGCGCGCCATGGCGCACGAGCGGCAGCAGCGGAGGTGAGCTAGGGCGGCCGGGGCACATTTTTAGGGGCGGCATTCTGGCGCCGGCCATGCCGCCCCTAAAAATGTGCTGCTCCAAGCACCAGCTTGTTTTGCTGGTGCCTAGAGCCGGCCCTGTTCTGAGTTATTATCCATAAATTAATCTGAATCAGAACTTCTTTCTAAAGGCTTTAAGCATCTTATGGTAACTAGTCATTGCTGCTATTCCTTCAATAAAGACAAGGCAACGTCTAGGACAGGCGTTCTCAAACTAGGGGTCGTGACCCCTCAGGGGGTTGTGAGGTCATTACATGGGGGTTGCGAGCTGTCAGCCTCCACTCCCAAACCCCACTTCGCCTCCAGCATTTATAATAGTGTTAAATTTTTTTTTTTAAATGTGTTTTTGATGTATTGGGGGGTGGGGGGTCGCACTCAGAGGCTTGCTGTATGAAAGGGGGTCACCAATACAAAAGTTTGAGAACCACTGGGGAAAATAAAAAACATCCAGTACTCTCCTTTTTGATCAGTTACTAGAGGTCTCTGAATAAAAACATGGCAATAACGAATAGTCTGTAATGCATTTAAAATGCCTGTGCATTTTAAACATCGAGTGTCATGAAAATATCTGAAATTTCAAAATGTCTTTAGTTTTTAGGTAAAGAAACAGGATAAATCTTACCATTTGCCTAATAAACATCTAGGCATTTGTTCTGTGTTCCTGAGTGGTTTATATTAAATTGTAAGTATCACGCATAAGGATAAAAAAATGATTTAATTCATGCCTAGTATGTGGGTTTATTAGCCTACTTAAGCAGTTTCTTCATAAAAGCTGCAGGTAAAAGACAGGTATCAATAAGCATAAACAAAAAGATCTCAGTAAAATTCTCACTTTTGGAGAGAGATGTACATCAGAATCCCTATGTGGTAAAGGGCTCTCCTCTGCTTTTCCTGTTTCCCCTTCAACTGGAGCAGTAACTTTTTCTGCCACTGGCTCTTCTTTCTTGCCATATGCCCTTCCCAGGTTTGATCTAGCCCTCTGGAACCAACTCCTCATTAGCTGTGCTGGTTTGATAGCACATGGCTTATCTTCTTGGGAACTGGATTTTTCAGTGCCAATGATTTAAAAACAGAAAATGTCACATGGTTACAATTAATGGAACCTGTTACTGCACTCATTGTTAACAGATTTTTTAAAATCAATACTTATACAAAAGAGTTACAATTTTTTTCCATGCTGTGCCTTTTGGTTTAAGATCAGGAAAATGTGCTCCTTTAGCATTTACAGTTTCTAGTTTTCAGCATTTGGGGAGTAACTCTGAACATGTAACATAGCCAAAGCCCAGTGTCAAGATTTTTCTTGCTATTATTTTTCTGCTGTGTGTCATACACATCACTGCTAGCTATTTTCATACTACTAGGAAGTAGCCCAAGCTGAAAAGAAGCGGTGTGAAGGGAATCAACAAATTCTGGCTTTCTAGATACCTAATTTCCAGAATTTAAATATTTAAATCCTGGCCATGCTTGTGTGACAATACTTCTACCTGAATGTATCAGTTATATGCAAACCCTTTTTTGATTCTAAGGGTTATGGGTGAGAAGGCCTCATAACTTGGTCTTAAATTGTGACACTAACAATACTTCATGTTAATTCATAATGAATACTAACAACATTAAGTTGCAATTGTAAATAGAAACTAACATGTGCCTTATGCGTCTTAATTTAAAAATAAGATGTAAACAAATCCACGTATTGCTTCTGTGATGAGAAAGGTTGCAATATTGCCAATAAAAATTTAGAATGTTTGAAATTGTGCAATGATTTAAAAAGCACCACAATGAAAGAAGCACTCCAAAATTTATTTTGTTAGTCCAACCCCTTTGCTTGTAATTGGTCAGGAGCTAAGAACCCCAATACCTCAGGTTAATTAGTGCCCTGTTATTTCATTTTTAACATAGAGGTGCATCAATAACAAGAAGGGAAAGTGAGGGCATTTCATTATAGCTACTCTGGTTCCAGGGGTACTCAGATTAGGTTTTCAATCTTTCTGAATTTCTTATAAATAAAAGAGAAGAGATAACAAAGGAGTAATAATTAAGGGCAGGAGCAAAGTATTTGAAAGATGGTGGGTCTCTAGAATCCCACCATTACTACTTTACTTCCCTCCCATCTCCCCCAATCAAGATACATGTGTCAAGCCAACAGATTCCCCTTGCCTGTGGGTACTGGAAAAATGTGACTTCCTCTGGAATCCCCAAAAGGAACAGCCACATGCATTGTTCCCTGGCTCCAAGGATAGAATGTGTTGCCTTGCAAGTGCTGGCAAAGGCTAAGAAGTTGTTTTAAAGAATTAGTGTTTCTGCAATGTTAAAAAAGTTTGTAGAATTTCTTGTGGTTTGAAAAAAGATCTATTTAAAGTAAGTATTTTTGGAGGTATTCTTTTTCTATAAGAGGCATAAAATTGTTGGAGATCTAGCTATTTTAGTTATTTATGTAATCAGGAACTTTAGTTTTTCTGTTGCTAGCAACACTAATAACATCAGGGAAACCAGTAACCAAACACATACTTAGTACTTGCATTCACCTAGACTAACAACATAAGAATACACTGGGTCAGAGGAAACAAATAAGGACTTTGCCATTAACAATACTGGAAATCTTATCTGAAAAAACATGCAAGTATTAATGTATTAGACATTTATATGCATTTGGAAAAAACTACCCCCAGGAAGACAAAACTTGGTAGGAAAGAACTTTGAACTCAAATATATTCAAGACAGCCCCACAGAGAAACAATATCAAGCACCTGGGCTCAACTAAAGAAAGCCACAGAATAAAAATGTTAGATGCTAGCACTGAAATAAAGGACCAGAGAGAGTTGGAAAACATTGGGAAGAAAGGTACTGATACATGCACAGGGATCTCATTTGTACAATAGGTAAATGTTTGCATGAAAAGCTTTCAAACTTGTTTCCTAAACTTCAGCTCACCTGCTTTGTTCATCTGACACATTTTGGTAAATATCAGGCACTGGAGATTCTCCTTCTGGTGTCTGTTTCTCACAGCCCAACAACTTATCTCCTGAAGCTTCAGAAGAGACAGCTTCATTTTCACCCTTTGGCTTGTGCTGAAAATATAACTATCATCAATAGTGGTCATGTACTGCAAACAAGTACTAAAATGTCCCATGTTTTAAAATAGGATTGCATTTTATAAAATCACAGAAACTAAGGCTCTCTGTAAATATGAAAATGAAAACTATTTGAACATGTAATTCCATTAATGGGCAGGCAGAAAAACAATCATAGGACAGAATTTTAAAATCTGAGTGCCCACAGGTAGGCATCTAAATCCATATTTAGGCACCTTAGGGGATTTAAAAGCTTAACTATAGACACCCAAGTTTGAAAGTTTGGGGCATGCTGTTTTGCACATAGTGCCTTTCAGAGTATTTCATTGCAAGTTACAAAACCTAAGAATCAGTAAACAAAATGCAGCTAAATATCCTCTATTTTACAGATGCTTAAACAGAGGTAGGAAGGTGCTAAGTGACTTGCCTAAGGTTAACCAGCTTATAATAAAGTCAGCCGGCATAGTCTTACTTCTATGGCAGTAGTGCTGTGCCACAAAAAGCTTAAAAAATAGAATGTAGCTTTGTATGTAAGAACTGATTGTTTCCTGCTGTTCCTTCCTTGCCCTTCTGGCCTCCCTCACTTAGTTTCCCCAACATGGAGTTTATTTAATCAGGAAGGATGATGCAAAACCCTTATTTTTAAGTAGTTGATATGAGCCCAGCCAGGAGTTACTTGATTGTGCCTAATCTTTCCTTCTATTGCAAATCCAACCAAAACCATACCCTTCGTTTTCCATAATAAGGCTTTTATTTATTAAAAATAAATAGATTTTAAAGAGTTCATTGTTGTAATGTCTGTAATGGCTCAACCTGGTAAGGGTTTACCATATTATACCCTCTAAGCTTCAATCTGTTCACTACTTAACTGCTGCATTATACTCCTTTTTGAGAAATATTAAAGAAAATGCCTTGAAGTGGTTTACTTGTACTACAACTTACTACAGTGTAGGGGATGCCAGCAGATTCATCTTTTTGCAGAGCTGATTGCTCAACTTCAGTTTTTTTTTCAGTTTCATCCTTTTCTGTTGCTCGTGTTTCTTTCCTTCCAACTGCCCTTCCTATGTTTGGCTTGGGCCTCTGGAATCGGCTCCTCACTAGCTGGGCTGGCTGAAGAAAGGCTGGTTTACTTTCTCCTTGAGAGATGAGTTTGCTGTGGAGCCTGCGAAAAAAGCAACATGATATCTGAAATCCTCTGTAACGCAGAGACATAATACTAGTATTCATAGGTCAGTTACATCTGTATCAATAAAGTCTTTCTGTTCTGTTTTTCTCTAACAGTGCAGATGTTAAATTTTAAACAAATACGATAGCACAGTGGTTCTCAACTGCGGGGCCGTGAACAGGTTTCAGGGGGCCACCAAGCAGGGCCAGCATTAGACTTGCTGGGGCCCTGGGTAGAAAGCCGAAGCCCCACTGCATGGGGCTGAAGCCCATGGCCCTGAGCACCGCCATGCGGGGCTGAAGCTGAAGCCTGAGCAATGTAACTTTGCAGGAGCCCCTGTGGCATAGGGCACCAGGCAATTACCCGGCTTGCTATCCCCTAACGCCGGCCCTGGCTTTTATATGCAGAAAACCAGTTATTGTGGCACAGGTGGGCCGTGGAGTTTTTATAGCATGTTGGGGGGCCTCAGAAAGAAAAAGGTTGTGAACCTCTGCCATAGCAGATAGTAATTTGAACAAAAAAAATTGCAGTTTCTCCTCACCTCAGCAGAAATTTTGCAGAAGAGCATTAGAGAAGCCTCATTACCTCCATGCATCCATTATAGAATTAAGTTGTCTTAGGTATTAGCTTTGTTTGTAGTGATTTTCAACAGGTCTCCAATACAAAAGCAAATTAGTGAGTTTCTGTTATAGCTTAAGTGCTCAGAAATGGAGGGTGTTCATAAGTCTGAAATGTTCATAACTCTGAACAAAACATTATGGTTGTTCTTTCAAAAGATTGCAACTGAACATTAACTTAATACAGCTTGAAACTTTATTATGCAGGAAGAAAAATGCTGCTTTTAACCATTTTAATTTAAATGAACTGGAGCGGCTAACAGGGGAGTTTTGCAAGGGAGTTCTCCGGGGGAGTGTGAGCAGTGGCTAGAACGCAACATTCTTTAAACTTAAAAGCCAAAAACACCCCCTTGATATAAACAAAACAACAACAAAGGAACCAGCTGCAGGAGTAAAAAGAGAATGCAGGCAGAAGTCCAGCAACAGAGTGGGGGCTACCCAGTTTATTGCACCCAATGCAGCATGTATGATTACCTGCCCTATGGGCAGGTGGCGTACGTGTGCATTCGGTGCAAGGAGCTCCTGGCCCTCAGAGACCGTGTATGGGCTTTGGAGACCAGAGTGGCTGAACTGGAGGAGCTGAGGGAGACAGAGAGGCACATAGATAAGACTTTCCAGGACACAGTAGAACGGTCCCACCCCCAGTCTGACAGCCTCTGTTCTGTTGAGGAGGATGAAAGTCCCAGGGAAGGAGAGCATCTAACTGGAGCAGAGGGAAACAATCCCATAATTGGGACCCTCTTTCCAGATGATGTTGTGGTATCCTCTCGCAGTGAGGATACTTCTCTGGGGGCGGGAACTCCAGCTATTAGAAAGAGACAGGCATTAGTAATGGGTGATTCGATCATTAGAAACATAGATAGCTGGGTTTCCGATGACCGGGAGAACCGCATGGTGACTTGCCTGCCTGGTGCAAAGGTTGCAGATCTCTCGAGACATCTAGATAGACTTATGTGTAGTGCTGGGGAGGAGCCGGTGGTCATGGTACATGTAGGGTACCAACGACATAAGGAAGGATAGGAGAGAGATCCTGGAGGCCAAATTTAGGCTGCTATGTAAGAGACTGAAATCCAGGACGTCCATGGTAGCATTCTCTGAGATGTTCCCAGTTCCACACACAGGGCCAGTTAGACAGGCAGAACTGCAGAGTCTCAATGTGTGGATGAGACAATGGTGTAGGAGTTTAGAATTATTAGGAACTGGGGAAACTTTTGAGAAAGGGGGAGCCTATACAAGAAGGATGGGCTCCACCTAAACCAAAATGGAACCAGATTGCTGGCACTTAACATTAAAAAGGTCGTAGAGCAGTTTTTTAAACTAAGAGCTGGGGGAAAGCCGACAGCTGCAGAGGAGCACGTGGTTCGGACATCCCTTAGGGGAGGAGCCATTAACAGAAAATCTTTATGTCCTAGTGAGGACGAAAGGATGGAAAATGATAAAATACAGGCAGGGTCTAATCAGAAACAGCCAAATAAAAAAGAGCCCCGTTCAATTACATTGTGCAATGGCAGATGGCTAAAAGGAGACAAGTTTTTAAAGTGCTTATATACCAATGCTAGAAGTCTAAATAATAAAATGGGTGAACCAGAGTGCCTCGTATTAAATGAGGATATTGATATAACAGGCATCACAGAAACTTGGCGGAATGAGGATAATCAATGGGATACAGTAATACCAGGGTACAAAATATATTGGAAGGACAAAACAGGTTGTGCTGGTGGGGGAGAGGCATTATACACCTCTACCCAGATATAACGCTGTCCTCGGGAGCCAAAAAAATCTTACTGCGTTATAGGTGAAACTGCATTATATCGAACTTGCTTTGATCCGCCGGAGCGCGCAGCCCGCCCCCGCCGGAGCAATGCTTTACCGCATTATATCCGAATTCATGTTATATCGGGTCGCGTTATATCGGGGTAAAGGTGTATGTGAAAGAAAGCATAGACTCAATGAAGAAAAATCGTAAATGAATCAAACTGTACCATAGAATCTCTATAGATAGAAATTCCATGCTCTAATAATAAGAATATAGCAGTAGGGATATATTACCAACCACCTGACCAGGATGGTGATAGTGACTATGAAATGCTCAGGGAGATTAGAGAGGCTATTAAAATAAAAAAAAATAATAATAATGGGGGATTTCAATTATCCCCATATTGACTGAGTACGTCACCTCAGGATGGGATGCAGAGAAAGTTTCTTGACACATTAAATGACTGCTTCTTGGAGCAGCTGGTCCTGGAACCCACCAAAGGAGAGGCAATTCTTGATTTAGTCCTAAGTGGAGCACAGGATCTGGTCCAAGAGGGTGAATATAGCTGGACCACTTGGTAATAGTGACCATAATATAATCAAATTTAATATCTCTGTGGCAGGAAAAACACCACAGCGGCCCAACACTAGCATTTAATTTCAGAAAAGGGAACTACCCAAAAATGAGGAGGTTAGTTAAACAGAAATTAAAGGGTACAGTGCCAAAAGTGAAATCTCTGCAAACTGCGTGGAAACTTTTTAAAAAGACACCATAATAGAGACTCAACTTAAATGTATACCCCAAATTAAAAAAACATAGTAAGAGAACCAAAAAAGAGCCACCATGGCTAAACAACAAAGTAAAAGAAGGAGCGAGAGGAAAAAAGGCATCCTTTAAAAAGTGGAAGTCAAATCCTAGTGAGGAAAATAGAAAGGAGCATAAACACTGACAAACGAAGTGTAAAAATACAATTAGGAAGGCCAAAAAAGAATTTGAGGAACAGTTAGTGAAGGACTCAAAAAGTAATAGCAAAAAAAAATTTTTTTTTTTTTTAAGTACATCAGAAGCAGGAAGCCTGCTAAACAACCAGTGGGGCCACTGGATGATCGAGGTGCTAAAGGAGCACTCAAGGACAATAAGGCCATTGCGGAGAAACTAAATGAATTTTTTGCATCGGTCTTCATGGCTGAGGATCTGAGGGAGATTCCCAAACCTGAGCCATTCTTTTTAGGTGTCAGATCTCAGGAACTGTCCCAGATTGGGGTATCAATTAGAGGAGGTTTTGGAACAAAATGAAACATTAAACACCAATAAGTCACCAGGACCAGATGGTATTCATCCAAGAGTTCTGATAGAACTCAGATGTGAAATTGCAGAACTACTAACTGTAGTCTGTAACCTATCATTTAAATCAGTTCCTGTACCAGATGACTGGAGGATAGCTAATCTGATGCCAATTTTTACAAAGGGCTCCAGAGGTGATCCCAGCAATTACAGGCCTGTACCGGGCAAACTGGTTGAAACTATAATAAAGAACAATATTGTCAGACATATAGATGAACATAATTTGTTGAGGAAGAGTCAACATGGTTTTAGTAAAGGGAAATCATGCCTCGCTAATCTACTAGAATTCTTTGAGGGGGTCAACAAGTATGTGGACCAAGGGGATCCAGTGGATACAGTGTACTTAGATTTTCAGAAAGCCTTTGACAAGGTCGCTCACCAAAGGCTCTTACGGAAAGTAAGCTGCCACGGGATAAGAGGGAAGAACATAAGAACGGCCGTACCGGGTTAGACCAAAGGTCCATCTAGCCCAGTATCCTGTCTACCGACAGTGGCCAATGCCAGGTGCCCCAGAGGGAGTGGGCCAACAGGCAGTGATCAAGTGATCTCTCCCCTGCCATCCATCCCCATCCTCTGACAAACAGAGGCTAGGGACACCATTCCTTACTCTCATGGATTGGTTAAAAGATAGGAAACGAAGGATAGGTATAAATGATCAGTTTTCAGAATGGAGAAAGGTAAATAGTGGTGTCCCCCAGGGGTCTGTACTGGGATCAGTCCTATTCAACATATTCATAAATGATCTGGGAAAAGGGGTAAACAGTGAGGTGGCAAAATTTGCAGATGATACAAAATTATTAAAGATAGTTAAGACCCAGGCAGACAGCGAAGAGCTACAAAAGGATCTCTCAAAATTGGGTGACCGGGAAACAAAATGACAGATGTTGATAAATGCAAAGTAATGCACATTGGAAAGCATAATCCCACCTATATACATATAAAATGATGGGGTCTAAATTAGCTGTTACCACTCAAGAAAGAGATCTTGGAGTCATTGTGGATAGTTCTCTGAAAACATCCACTCAATGTGCAGCGGCAGTCAAAAAAGCGAACAGAATGCTGGGAATAATTAAGAAAGGGATCGATAAGAGGACGGAAAATATCATGTTGCCTCTATATAAATCCATGGTATGCCCACATCTTGAATACTGTGTTCAGATATGGTCACCCCATCTCAAAAAAGATATATTGGAATTGGAAAAGGTTCAGAAAAGGGCAACAAAAATGTATGGAACGGCTTCCGTATGAGGAGAGATTAACAAGACTTGGACTTTTCAGCTTGGAAAAGAGACGGCTAAGGGGAGATATGATTGAGGTCCATAAAATCATGACTGGTGTAGAGAAAGTAGATAAGGAAGTGTTGTTTACTACTTCTCATAACACAAGAACTAGGGGTCACCAAATGAAATTAATAGGCAGCAGGTTTAAAATAAATAAAAGGAAGTATTTCTTCACACAACGCACAGTCAACCTGTGGAACTCCTTGCCAGAGGATATTATGAAGGTCAAGACCATAACAGGGTTCAAAAAAGATCTAGATAAATTCATGGAGGATAGGTCCATCAATGGCTATTAACCAGGATGAGCAGGAATGGCGTCCCTAGCCTCTGTTTGCCAGAAGCTGGGAATGAGTGACAGGGGATGGATCGCTTGATGATTACCTGTTCTGTTCATTCCCTCTGGGGCACCTGGCACTGGCCACTGTCAGAAGACAGGATACTGGACTATATGGACCTTTGGTCTGACCTAGTATGGCCATTCCTATTTTCTTATGAAACAAGCACAGAAACCATTTCCTTACTTTGTCCAACAACAACAAAAAATTAAACTTTTTTTTTTTTTAAGTACTTTATGTTTAACACAGTACTGTACTTTGCTTTTTTTTGGTCCCTGCTGCCTGACTACATATTTCCAGTTCCAAATGAGATATGTGGTTGACAAGTCACTTCATAACTCTGGTGTTCATAACTCTGAGGTTCTACTGTACATCCAATTTTCATGAAAATGCTGAGGTAAGTCATTCCACTGAAGATATCACATTTACCACCCTGAAGTTAATATATACTCATTCTAAGTTTAGGGTAGAAATAATTCAATTAGTAGACTGTTCAGCATTTACTATGTAAAAATAAAGAAGTTCGATGTAAAGAGGTACTTCTAGCTAATTTTCTTAGCCAGTTGAAAACCTGGAGACTGATTTCGTTTTGTAACTCCCTCACTATTATTTTCAGGAAATAAAACAAAGGAACAGAACCTTTACCTGGCAGCAACAGCTGAAGTCTTCTCCTGGTTATCTGCAGATAGAGGAGACACATTTTGTTCACCACTCTCAGATCCTGAAAGCTTCTTAGGGGACTGAAGGCTTATTGGGGTTGCAAATACTTCCTGAGAGTCTGCAGGGTCTTCTTTTTCTAATGACTGCCAGGATGGCATGACTTCACATTTTGCTGCTTTCTAAAAGACACATTAAGAGTGTAAACATCTGAACTAAAACACTCAAATATATTATGCTACACAATTGAAAAAATATATACTTATAATTTAAGCAGAAGAGACACAAAGTTCATTAAGATTACTATTAAACATTGTCTAAATTTTTCCATGGCTGTCCAGTGTCCACAAATGAAGAGCCCCAATTTTTGCCCAATACTGAGACATACAGAAATTTAAATGTCTGTCAGCAAGAACTGGCATGGGGCCCAACACAACAGCTTAATATTAGAGTCCTGTACTTCAGGGGAATGACCCATGTCTGCTTTAAAACTGAACTGGAGATTACTGTGGATTATTTCTTTGATATTTTATGATAGCACTTTTGTTTCTGAGCTAAGTGGACTTCTGAGCAGAAGGAATGGCGAGAATGAAGACAGATACCTGGACTGCTAATGATGGAAAATAATTGACTATTTGAACTATTACTCTGCCACAGTAGGCTTGTTCTTCACAGTACATTTTCATACAGCACTAAATGGAAATTTTTATTTTTTTAAGCTTTTACAGGTTTCCTGGTTCAACAAGGATAAACTTCTATGTAAAAATTCTACCAATGTTTTTCCTCAGTTGCACCTACAATAATGCACATAAATGCAACTTTTCAAAGACACCCCCAAAGTCTCAGCTCTAATTTAAAAAATCCAAACTTACATCTAGGTCAGGAAGCATGCTGCATTTACTGTCACACTGTATCAAACTGTTGTCTTTTTCAGTGCTGTCCTCTGACACATCTTTATTCAGTCCTGGCACTTCCCCTCCTCCAGCTTCCTTTCCTAAATTTGATTTTGGCCTCTGAAATTGATTCCTCAATAGATGTGTTGTCTGAACAGCCACTTCTTCTTCTTGCTGAGAACTGGCGTCTCTGTTAGACCAAAGAAAATATGTAAAGAAGCAATACAGGCGACAACCATATAGCCTAGGTCCCACACATGGTAAAGCACTCAACAGTGCAACTAAAACTAACACATGACCCTCTATAAAACAAGCATTCCTCAATATAGTAGCTAAGCATGCAATCCGCAGCTTCCAATTACTTAGTTAATAGGGATATGAAAAGGAAGCAAGCACATCACAAAAGTATAAAATAATGGGTGGGCAAGCAAAGAGGTGTCTTGCTAAAAGCAGCAACTTTTGGATTAATACAGTCCTGAGTCTTATTTTATGAGGAATGTGTCATTCACTACAAGTTTAACTGTCTCACAGCATCTAAAACCTCATATAAGATCTAAACCCAATTTTCAAAATGTGGCACCTCAATCTTAAAAGCAAGTTCAAATTCCATATTTTAAGAGTTCAAATGAGTACTTAAGTATTCATAGGTAAGAACTGTTTTGAAGTCTACACCTACAGGTTCCGGGCATCCTATAAACATATTTAAGTTTGAAAATTGGACTCACAATCTAAGATCCTTTTTTATAGCATTTACACTTTAAAAAGGGCTATTCAAAGAATTTTTAGGCTTTAAAAAGAAATAAAATGTATAAAAGGGGAACTAGTTATTAGCCATCTTGTCTGAAATCCTACTGCTTTCAGGTTTACTTTTAAAAATCCAACATTAAAGTGATCTGTTAGATATGCTCGGTTAAAAATCAGTTTAATGTTTACTTTGATGATGCTAAATGTGAGTGCTGAATTTGAAGATTAATGTGTTAGTTCTGTGGAGACACCCAATGCTTCTGCATTTTCCCTTTCCTTCACTTAATCTTACCCTGTACCAAAATCCAAACCATCTTCCAAATCATCCACAGAAAATGACTCCTTTTCTTGTTCACAACTCTCAGATCCCAAGAGTTTCTCTTGGGAACGCTGTTTTACATGCACTGAGACCACCTTCTCAGCTCCTGCGGTGGTTTCTTTTTCTGATATCTCAGAACACAGCAGGATGTCTTCATTACCTGTTGCATCCTAAAAGGAACAACAATTTCACTCATTAAAAAGATTTGAAAAAGCTCTTCTTTGTAGGAAGGAAAGTAATGAAAAATAACATATGTTTTGCAAAAGCAATTTAACATTTAACATACCCTTAAACAAGCCTCCCCTCACTCAGAGACACATCAAATACTATCACTAGGTATTTGTAAAATAAAGAAAACTATTTAAGATTCCAAACCCTTAATATTTGTTTAGATTTAAAATATTACAAATTGTCTTTCATGTCTCTGAAAGATAGGAGTTTGGATTCTGTATTTCCCATTTTAAGCTGTTATCACAGACAAGGTAAGGAATGCAACTCGCAGCACTTTAGATTCTTGGGATGTAATCTACTGCTCCGGTAGAAACACAGAATCTCCAAGTCCTTGAATTCGGATCCTAACAAGTTTCAGGTCACCTTTAAAAAGGCAAGGTGGCTACAAGCTACCACAAGAATTCTGCCCATGCAGCTGCAAAGAAGTCTTAGAGATCAGATGAAAGAAACTTACCCCTGTGGTGAGGAGTACACCACTTTTGTTTTCACAATGTATCAAACTCTTCACTGCTTCTCCAACTTCCATTTTTTCATCTTCTACATTTTTTTTGGTTGCTGATACTTCTTGCCTTCCAGCTGCCCTTCCTACATTTGGTTTTGGCCTCTGCATTCGACCCCTCATTAGTGGTGCTGGTTTAAGTACACTCTGTTTGCCACCTTCTTGAAAACAGGATATTTCTTTAGACCTGAAAAGGCACACATTCAAAATAACAATGTCCCAGATTTCTGAAAGCTAAAGGGGGGCCTTCAAATCTAATAGCAAACTGTTCTTCAGTTTGTTAACAACCACGGGCACACAGACATATTATTTATTGCAAATTTAATGAAAGTTAGAATTATATACTCTAGACTAAAACGACATTTGACTCTACTAAAATTTAAGTTGGAAATGTTCAATTGCAAACATTTTTATAGAATGCATGGATAAACTCCATCCTCTGCCCTGCCATTATGAGAGAGTTACATATTTTTAGCCAGCAATAAGCCTTCTTACATCCTTACTCCAAGCACATGATTACATTAGTATAATAAGATTGATGCATAGTTTTACAGAGAGTATAGTTTTAAAAAGCAACTAACGTGTATAATTATCATCATTATATACCCTAGACAGATTTTCACTTCTCTGACAAAAAGTTTGAATATTTCTTCCTGCTACAATTTATTTATTCACCTTCTCATCTCTTCAAGTCTCCATATCCCTTATTGAGTCTTAAGAATTTGTTTCATTTTTTTACTACTTTACACTCTTCCTACAACATACACCACCACACAGGAGACACATTACACACATCATGATTTTGGCTGAGGAAGAAAAGTGCAAGAAACTATGTTTAAAAAAAAAAAAAAAAAAAAAAAGAATAACCTGCCCACACTATAGGACATTTCTTCCCAGCCCTAGATAGTTTGCAGTTAGCTTGTGCCTTGAAACACGAGGAGTTATGCCAGATAATATGTTACTTTACGTGTGAATTTTCTTACACTTGTAAATGTCAAATCCTGTTATTTTCTGTCATATAAAAATATAAGAAATCCATTATTGTAACTTGCTTTACACTTAGCAATTCAATTTGTTTTCTTTGAAGGGACTAGCTTTTCCTTTAACTGTTTGGCATTTATCTTACCTGCACCTTGTAAACAGTCCACGAAATTTCATCTGAATAGCAGTGACACTATCTGTTCCACTTATAAAAATGCAAGTTGGAAAAGACTGCCAAAAATATAACTTAAGAGCAAAAGCTTTTATATTCACCATTCTATGCAACACTATCAGAAAGGAGAAGGCAGGGAAAGAGCTGAAAATAGCAGGATACGTCTCCCTGCTCTGTACATACTTACTGAGATTCAGTCTCTGAGATCCTCCCATCTTTTTCTGTAGTTTCCCCTCTGGTACTGTCAGGTGTGTTACCTTGGTCAGTACTCTGCTGAAGAGCAGAAAATTAAAATGAAGAAATTTAAACTTTTTCATAGCTATATAAAAGATGTAATAAACAATCGTGTTAGAACTGATAATAGCTGAGCCTAAAAGATACCAGGTTTGTAGGTTAAGGTGTGGATATGTCCTACACAGCAGAGGACCTTAGAGATGTCTTCATATCAGTCACAGAAGACATCTTGAGGCCACTGCACTGTGAAAGCTAATGGGAACTATGTCCAACAGGCCAACATCTACCCTTTTAGATGGTATGCTCTTTGGGGCAGGGACCGTCACTTACTGTAAGTTTGTACAGTGCCTAGCACAATCAAGCTCGCAACCTGATTTTGGTCTCTAGGTTCTACCACAATATAAGTGATAAATGTAGAACAAAAATCCATTACACGGATTGTTGATTGAGACTTCTGGTTACACTCAGCAACAAAAGGACAAACAACAACATGATTAGGTATAGAGGCTTATTTTTCAAGCCACTTGACAAAATACAAATGTTTATCATTTCCAGTTAGTTTTGTTCTGTTAAATACCTTTTCAATTGCTCCCTCAGGCTCTTGAGGAGTTTTGTTCTTTCCTTCACCTTGGACAGGAGCTTCTCTCTTCCCAGATGCTCCTACTACATTAGGTTTAAATCGCTGCCGACGCCCTCTCATTGCTGCTTTTTCAGTAACAGCTTTTTCAGTTTCTCTACACAAGAAAAAAAGTATGGCATTCAGAATCAGCATTTGTGCCACCAAGCCTATTAATGTCATCTCGGACATAAGAAAGATGATTTTCAATGACCTGCACAATTTTCTTTATTAAAAAAGGATCTTAAATACAGATCCTTTGGATATTGTTTTTTTTTGCATCTCTTTGTACATTTCTTTGATGTGCAGAAGCTGCTTTTATCTGAAACACTACAGAAAATCCTGTGATCCACTTGTTGAAATATTTGTAGTCAGTCTTTTGGCCCCTTCCACTAGCATTAGGTCTTCCAAACTCTGTAACAGAGTTATGTGGCTTACTCTCTATAGTTTCTGCTCCAATCTTCAGAAGCTAGGCATCAAGCTGTGGAATGTGGGGAAGAATCAAAGTATATACACCTTTATGAAAGTCTATTTTTAATCCCTGTGTAGTTTCAACTCCTCCTCCCTGGACATCTTATCACTGAATTTCCCCCCCCCCGTAAGGTTCAAATCATCATTGATAAAACTTCTGAATTAAAAAGAATGGTTTGGTATTGTATGAAGTCTGGCTCTCTTCAGCCTCCCAGGAGAGGAGTGTAACACTTCCATGGTATTGCCATTCCATATTGTCCTAGGAAATCTAGAAGCCAAGTTAAGGATTCACACTTGTCTCCTCAGTTTGCACTTCCATCATAGTTCATCAGACCAGCCTATGGAAGGACTACAACAGACCACTGTATGCAATAAACTAGAAGACACTGCAGTAAACAGTTAAGAGTTAAAGCAAAGACAATATGATAAACTGATCTCTGAATACTCACTGGGATTCAGTCTCTAAGGCTTTGATTTCTCTTCCTGTGGTTTCATCTCTGGTGATTTCAGCTGTGTTACCTTCACCAGCTTCCATGGTACACTGAATTAAAATAAAAAAATATATTTATTTTTTTATATAGAGGACAGAGAGATGAGAGATAGAGCATTTGAGTCAAATTTGATTTGCAAAGTCAGTGGTCAGATGGGGTATAATGCAGCTACATTCCCACTGTATACCCCAGAAGTATCCTGCTTCGTTAACAGAAACCAAAGCACCAACTAAACATGTCAGATCCTGGCCAGCATGGACTTTCAAGTGATCTCAGAGATCTTAACCATGATCAAGAAGCTTTGGTCATTGTCCCATCCCTGAAAACCCTTCAGCTAAATGTTGAAGGTCTCATCTGCTGAATGTTCTATTCTCCAGACCCTAGCCTCCAAACATAAATGGACGTAATCTGCCTTCAGGAGACACATCAACTCACTTTCTGCCAGCTGCCTTAACAACACAGGTTATGACCTCGTGAGTTACCCTTTGCATAGCAAATGGGGCCACGCTACCTATGTTAGAGCAGATCTTGCTGGCATGGAACCACTCCAATCTAATTCAGGTCCTCTGATGTTGAGAGAGTATCATTTCAGAATGGCAAAAGGGTACATGCACGCTAACCAACCCTGCCCTCCCCCAAATATTATTCCTAAACTCCCACAGCCTGACAGGTTTTAAAAGCCAACACACAACCTGGAGATATAGAGAGTCAGATCAAAATGGAGTCGACCTTTTGGACTGGGTTTCATTCTGTGGTCTTCACCTCGTCCATAATCCAAACAGAGTACTTTTCATTCTCCCAGATGGAAGCAAGACTACTCCCCTCACCTCACCTGGATCACCAGCACAGGCCATCACCTACTTCAAGCTATAAGCAGCATAATGAAAAACTTCCCACATAGTCAGCATAGTCTGATTTTTACCGAAGTTGAAGTAACCATACCTGTCGTAAGTATCAATATTAACCCTTGCTGAAACTATCAGAAAGCAACCTGGCCCAGCTTCACACAATTCACAAAGCTTGTATCCCACACAACATCTCTACTGAAGCAACTTACATGCAGTAAATTCCAAGAGGTTGTTGTAAGGCCCTACATGAATCGCAGGATGATCTTCAAACAATTGCAAACAATTGCAGCTGAGCTGCATGGAAAATCATAGAAGAAAAATAATAATGGACCTTTATTAATAGTGGTAATTTGGAAAAAGCAAGAGTAGACCTATTTGTTTAAAAAAATTGCTGGAACAATATAAACACTCAAGTATTATGTTATGCCTGCTCATTTTTTTGATAGCCAGACATTTTGCTACAACCATATTACATTCATTTAAAAAAAAAAAAAGGGAACTGTTACAATATAAAATTCAAAAGACAAAGTCTTAAACACAACTGCTATAGAAATCAAGTCCAGTCACGTTAGCCTTTTACAGTCATTGAATGTTAGTACAATACTAACTGCATACTCAAAATGTATGCAAAATTGTGGACTGTGCAAAGTAAGCTAATTAAAATCAAAATTGTGGTGGAGGCCTAATATTGCAGGATCCGCAATTTTAGCAATATCGCAAATGAAGTACGGCCTGAGTTATAAGACCTATATTCCCTGCCTAGATGAGGAGTTTGCAGAACTCCTCAAGCAACGTGACGACGTGGCAATCCAGACATCACCACACATCTTTTAGACAGCTTAAACACTTCTATAAGAGCAAGATGGGAGCAATCTACCATGGAACTAAACATATCAAGAGACAACAGCAAAGCCTGGGCACTAATCAGAAAACTTGGTGCTGCTCAGAAGCCTCCAGCACAGTGCCATTGTTCAGTCTCTCCACATAGTATTGTTATCCCCAGATAAATTCCGCAAAAGTGGATGAAGGACAGAAAGTTTGAAGGAGAGATAAAGAACAAATGGTGCAATACAAAGAGGGTATACCTGATACTGAAAAGACTTCCAGCCTTTCACCACAGATGAAATAGAATGGGCAATCAAAACACTGAAAACAGGTAAAGCCTGTGGGCTTGATAACAACTCCACCAAATTGCTGAAGAACAAGGGAAAACTAGCAGACAATGGCTACCCGTGTTTCTAACTCGAGTCACCACAAGAATAAAATACCCAAGATCTAGCAGAGAGCAAAAGTAATAGCCCTGCCAAAACCTGAAAATGCCCAGTGACTTGCAAAATTACTACTTCCCCATCGCTTTACTAAGTTGTATGTACAAATTACTTGAAAGAACCTTCCCAATCACTGCATTTTATCTTCGCACTAATCTGTCTGGCAGTAAAGAACCAGGATTTCAGTCACACAGAAGAAGTCCCGAATGCTAACATGAAAGATATGGCTCACTATTGTAAGAGATGGAGACTTAAACCTATCACCAAAAAGACAGCATCCAGTTGCTTTCCTCTATACCACACAAAGGCCAACAAACAGCTCAATATCTTCCCGAATGGACACAGGCTGGACAATGACCCAAAGCCGGTGTATCTGGGTGTCACACTGGACCACATCTTGATTTCCCAGGAATGCCTTACTAAGATGTTGCTGAAAATAAAAACAGCCAACAACCATATCAGCAAATTAGCTGGTTCTACCTTGGGAGCTAATGTACAGACACAAACTCTGGGCTTCGCCTTAGCTATTTTGTAGCAGACTTTTACTCTCCAGTAAGCTCTTTTCATACAGGACTAACAGACACTCAGCTACATGAAACCATGCATATAATAGGTACCATTAAACAACTAACCTGGCCTGGCTGCTGGTTTTGTCCAATATCAACCCTCCTAACATTAGGTGACAAGTCACCTTGCAGAATCTGCTCCTTAAGGTGCAAGACATGTCACATCTACCCCTATTTAAAAATGTGTTTAATCTACGGAGCCATCATCTCAGTTCAAGTCACCACTTTGGGACAATTCCGCTAAGGAACCTCAATTTCACCTCCAGGTGCCAAGAACAAGCTTCAGACATAGTGGATCTCTCACAAGATAGGCTAAGTCCATCCCCTGGTTTTGACATTCCATGCCCTCTTTGGATAAAGCTCAACTGCTTCAGATGTGAAGTAATCAGATATGCTGCTAATCACTAAAACCAACACGCTTGACTTGATCATCTATGTATAAGCAATTGCTATACAAGTAGTCAGATGAGCCACAGAATAGGTCACCAAGGTTTAGGAGATCAACTTTTACATGTGGATATAACACAAAATTGTTAGCATTTGCAATTAACATTGCTGCTCCCCACCATTTTTTCAGCCCCTTCTGTAGGCTCTGAAGAAGAAATCTTGACCTCAGATTTCTCTTGGACTGCTGCTTCTGTCTTTCCAGATGCCCTTGCTAAGTTGGGTTTAGGTCTCTGCAGGCGTCCTCTCACGGATGGCTTTCCAGCAGCAGCTTTTTCAGTTTCCCTTAAGATACAAAAACAATAGCTTATAATATTCACAGCAAAGAAATTCAGTACTTTATATGATCAAATATATCCTCCAAAAACATGTTGTTATCTACATATTCCATACAATAAAACAGTAACTGACGGAAATCATTACTGTGTTCTATGCCATTTGTGGGTATGCTTTATTTCTTGAAAGTACAGAATCTTTTGTAAGTGTGTAAGGACACTCCTCATAAGTTTACTGGTTTTCAGCACTGTATGGGGCCACACCTTCAAAGAGAATATTTGAAAATGTAACAGTTCCAGGGTGGATAAAAAAAATATTTTTTTTGAAAAATAAAAAAATATTTTTATGGTTATTTGAATTATAGTAAGTTTTCTTTTTAAAAATAAACCTGTTTAAAATGAAATCAGAATTTAACACAAAATATGTTAAGGCCTAAACTGATAATCTCTTAAAACATTTAAGTAAAAAATATGCTGAATCCATGAAACTCTATCAAAAACTCAGAATTAAAGGCTGCTTTCCTATATAAAGAAAGAATCAGGTGGAAAACATTTAACTTTTGAGGTCAAGCTTTATAAATATAGCACAATAGGTCAGCCTAAGTAATTTAGGAGACTCTCTCATTTTCAAGAGACTTAGACAAGACTTTCACTTAGGCATATTTGAAAATTTTCTCAGGCTGACCTGAAATAATCAGTTTAATTGACTACAGTTAATTCCTCTGTTCCTTTAATAAATACTTTAGTTGTAAATTTGAAACATGTTTTGGATACATAAACTTCTCTTATCAAAGCATTTAAGGTTGCGCTGTTTAATAAAAATAAGTTTTGTATACTGTTGTGTGTTTGATTAAATTCCAGTTACAATCCTAATGCAGCTTGACACAAAACATGAAAAAGGCAGTAGTCCTAGGTTGGAGACAGCAGAAGGAAGTTAGTATGCTGTAGTATGGCATAATGATCAGAAGATCTGAATAGTACACTACTACATACTAGATTAATTCAATCCCCACCCCTTACTCATTCAGTGCCATTATCCTGACAATGAACCCCCAAGATCTTGGTATACTAAGGGCTCGTCTATACTACCCGCAGGATCGGCGGGCAGCAATCGCTCCACCGGGGGTCGATTTATCACGTCTAGTATAGACGCGATAAATCAACCGCCGAGCGCACTCCCGTCGACTCCGGTACTCCACCGGAGCGAGAGGCGCAGGTGGAGTAGACAGGAGAGCAACTCACCGCAGTGAAGACACCGCGGTGAGTAGATCTAAGTATGTCGACTTCATTCACGTAGCTGAAGTTGTGTGACTTAGATCGATTCCCCCCCACACACACCCCCTCATGTAGACCCAGGCCTAAGTTGCACAAGCTGTAACTCTCATTAAAACCAAAATAACTTGCTTGTCCCTATGCAACATTTTGAAGTTTACTATAAGCACCATTCTTTGGCAACAGAAACTTAGTTCTATTTGAAGTATTTTTAAAATAAAGAGGAACAAAAGACCACCTGCTGTGCCATGTGAACAGATTTTAGAACACACATACCTACCCCACCCCCAAATTAGAGAAATACAGATTTAACTCTCAGTAGAATATTACTGCTAGGCAGAATAACTACTCACATTGTTTCAGATTTAGAATCATGGCTTTTTCCTGCTGTACTTTCCTTTTCATCTGGTTTATATAAATCACATACTTCATTGTTCTATGTGGAAACAAAGTAATATTTAGAATTCCTGATTCCCGCAATAGTGAAGAAACTCTTGCTACAAGACAGTTAAATATTGGTGTCAAATGAAAGTGAAAACAAGGCTTCTCTTTCATCTTTCAGTTAAATCAAGTGAGTGAGATTCTAGTATCAATTTTAACTATTGTTGGCTGTAGGCTTTAAATAATCTTTCCACCAGAAATCACTAGGCATTATTGCAAAAAGCAAGAATGATAAAGGGAATTATTCTTGATCAACAGATATAGCAAAATATAAAATCTACCTATTATATAAGAACAAAAGCATTTCTGCTACATAAAATTATTTTTCTCCTTTTATCTACAGTTGTTTCATCACACAAATATCCTCAAAGGGGTGTATTTCCTGTACTGACTGGTTTGGCATTTTCAGATTGCAAAGGAGATTCATTATGCATCAAATTAAATTCACTTAACCACAGCACATGTAATCTACAACGTAAAAACATTACTGATCGTAACATAAGCATTCTGATTGTGATGACTTGAGACTCCAGGCTTTTCTTAAGGCTGTCCTTCCTGTTACAATAGCAATATATTGTCATAGCTAGTTGGCCTGAAAACATATCTGCTTAGTTCTGGTTTGTAGGCAGGACTGAGGCACATTACAGGGTCCAGGCTATTCTGTCCACTTCAATTCTTCTGAGGCAGAAGAGTGTTGTATTTCTTCCTACTCAAGGAATTCAAGGTGCTTCACAAAGATTAGAATTAGCCAACCTCCCAGTAAAAATGGGGAAGTTTGCTTATTTTTTAAATATAAACGAATGGTGAAATTGAGGGTCAAGAGTTTAAGCGACTTCCCCGAGGTAGCATAGGAAGTATCTCCTGACCCCTCCCATGCTTCAGCCACAAGACCATTATTTGTCTTAGAAAGATTAAAAAATTAAAGGAATCCTTCAGACAGGCATTACTAGTTATGCTAGCAAGCACATGGTACCAAGTCCCTGCAGGACTGGGCTCCAAGACAACGGAAAACATTGAATTTTAATAGTGGAATTTTCTCCTTCATAGTCTTTGTTTTGGAAAGCTAATGAACAGTTTAAACAGCACCTTTAAATTTTTGCACTATGAGATAAACCCAATCCAAACATGATATTCCTTGAATCACTTTGGTCTACTAAAATAAAACCAATAAAAGTCATTTATCCCACTGACTGGCAACTTATTTAACTTCTGGTGATATTTCCAGGTTTAATGACTTTGTGTGCTGAGCTGTATATGAGTATGTTATGAGATATTTATCAAAGAAATCTTTATTTTATGTGAATGCTACTAGTAATGTGAGAAGGATTACTGGAGACCAAAAAGATCCATAACAACAAAGATACCTTTGCTTCACTGGTCTCGTCACCATTTCCTTTTTCATTTCTGGTACCTGAAACTTGAGATTTTGAAGGTTGCCAATCCTGTGACCCAGAGATGATATCTGGGGTTTCTGGTTCAGAAGATTCAGATTCTATTAATCCAGCACTAGTATCTTGAAAGCTGAAAATAAGGCATTCAGAGAAAATGTAACATCAGTACTTTTTCACACACAAGTTAATCAGGGCTGCAGGATCAAATTGCACTATGGAGTTATTAAATATACAGTGCTACCACTGTGCATTTGCCCAACCAGACAATGTGCAGAAATTTTAAGCGTTCTATTGAACCTGCCAAATCTTATGACTGCCAACTTCATTCCCTTCGTCTATATAAAAGTTTTTGCAACCAAATACAGAAGCTCTGAAAAGCTTTGGTTTAATCTTAATAAAATGCCTTTTAAGCACTGCAGATGAAGAATTATTTTAAAAGCAAAAAAGCTTTTGAATATTCTGAATTGGCTACAGGAATTCTCTCATTTTACGGAGAAAATCTAATATGGAACAGAGAATATCAAGAAGAGCTTCATCAACACAATGAAGTTGTACTTCAACACAGAGACTAATTTAAAAGTATTATAGTTCTTCCACAAATATCTCGTCATTTACAAAACATCAAAAATATCTGTGTAACGGTGATAAGAAAATCTCCTTAGTAAACATGGAAATTAGTGACACAAAGTGAAGTGTTATATACTGTAAAAAAGTTTCTCAAAGTTCATGACCAAAAACAATTGCATCTTTGCAGAAAACCTGGTTATGTTTCAACTCAGTATGAAACTAAGTATAGTTTTGTTTCCCCACAAGTGTTACAGAAGACACATTTTATAGTAAAAAGTGTACAGAAACCCCCTTCTCCCCACACCCGACACAAAGTACAGTAGTAATGTTACTAAGCTCTACTTTAGTGGTACCATCACATTTTCCTTAAAGCTTTAGGGAAAGGTTTGGAATAAGTCACTGGTCTTGATGTTCATCCCAAAAATGAGAGAAATTTTGGATTTAAAGAATCACTAAATGGGGGTTTAGCATTAATTTTTATTAAGTTAAGAGGAGGCTTTCAGGGGAAGGATCATGTTGCAGGTATAAAATTAAAGCAAGTGAGTCCACCACCCTTGAGGGTAAAGCTTGACAACACATGGAAACCGAAGACCCTGTCCATCTTCACCAATGAATGTGATAGTAAGAATCAACAAAACAAAACTAATTTTAAAAATCAAACCATTTCTTGCTGTGTTTGTAGCAAAAGTTACCTGGCTAAACTGAGATCACTTTCTTCTGTTTTGTCATTCAGTTGTAAGCAGGAATGTGATTCTTGCTCCACCAGGACAGGAGTCTCATCCACATTTTCTTGATTAAGAACATCCAGTTCCTCCCCACATTCAGTATGATTATCACTGTTCATACCAGACACTGCATTCTTTTCTGTTAGCAAATTGTTAAGTGTTTAATATGTATTTCCAGAAAATGCCTGGTAATGTTAGGTACAGATTCCAAAACATCCACAAGAGAAAACACCAATACACACAACAAAAATAGGGCTTCAATTTTAGAAGTTATTTTGAGAACCAATTTGAGACACCTGAGAGGGACCTGAATTTCAGAAAAATCTGGCATTTAAAGTGTTTCTGACTGCGCACCTCAAAAATTAAGGCAACCAAAAAAAATCACTTCACTATGAAAGTTCAGACTTATGGGTATAGATAGCTAAAGTTTGAAACTTTGGGCTAAGTTCAGATTTGTTGCTACAATCAGGAAAAAGAAAGTCACTTTCTTCCAACTGAGTAAAATTTGAAGTCTACAAAGAAAACAATACTGCGTTTGGAGATTTTGTTTTTAAATAATGGTTGCGTCATTGAACAGATGTCAATTGTCCGTTACCAAAAATGACGCAACCTTTTCCATGACAAGTTGTAGGCTTATGTAATTATAAAGGTTATACTGTAATTTATAGTAAATTGAAAAGGAATTCAGGTTAAAATTTTAAATATTTTCTTTACCTATATTAATCAACAGTCAAAGAGGTTTAAAAAAATTTAGATTTAATTTACTGGTTTGCACCTCATTCGGTTTGGAACTACTAGGCAGTTTCACCATCCAATTTTCACATAATAATGCTGCAAAGTTTTAAACACTTCTAAGGAAAATTTCTATATCTCAACAAAAACTAGGTTGATTTTTTAAAAATAAAATATTTTAATGGGGGCTGTTTGGAGATGTGTTTTAAAAATTTTTAGATTTGGGGCCAAAACTACCTGACAGTGCCCTTTAAAATGAAACAGGACATAAAACTTTCACCAAAAGGTTTATGAATTCATGATATATTTTTCCCAACTACATTTTCGAGGGTGATCCATACTGTTTATTAACATAGCTGAGATCTCACCTTTGCGACCACAGTGGTTTAAACCAAACAATATTCCATAATAGATTGGATTGCTGTAATGTGATATCAGAAGTTATATCTAAAGACCACCATGAAACGTCAGGTAGTCCAGAAAGTGGTAGCGCTCTTGCTTAGAGGTGCTTCATAAATTATGTCTGTGCTTCAAGGTCTGCAATGAAAGATCCAATTTGTTTCCATATGTCATTCAATCTGTTTTCCCTTCAAAACCTTAAATGGTTTGGAGACCTGGGTACCAAAGAGATGAACTCTCTCCATATGCAGTAAATGGCACTTGATATCAACCAAGGTACTGAAGCTAAGCGCCTTCCTGTTTAAAAAGAGAGGGGACTGACTGCCAGGCATTTTTTGAGAAATGAGCTTTAGTTGAGGGCCTCTCCCCCACAATGGTCTGTTGATCTTCAGAGCACACTGCAAAGCCTGTGTATTCTTCCAGGCTTCCGAGAAGGAGGTGGATTAAAGAGGGTACAGGTAAACTAAGAGAGGATGGTAATTGTTAGACTCAAGTTGAATGAAAACAATTACCATCCTCTCCGAACCAACAATAGTACCTACATGTTATTTTTTATACCATACAAAGGCCCAAAGAGAACACATCAAGTACTTCCATAGGCTAAAATTTGAGGTTTATAATCCGACGGGGTAGCTAACGCACAACAAACTGGGACAATGCCAACAGCAGAAGGATGGATTATGGTTGAGCATTTTAATCTTACTTTTATTGCTGGATTTCTCCCCCTTAGCTGGTTTTGTGGGGGCAGCTCCCTCTTCAGCCAGATTCTCCACTTCCAGTTCAGAATCATCTTTTTTCTTCTTTTTCCTCTTCTTCTTGGTTGTCACTGGCTCCAATATAATCTGTTCTTCTGTCTGTTCAGAGACACTCAGAGATTCTTCATTCTCCTTCTCGGCTGTCCCAGCATCCACTTCTGTTTCTGCATCAGAAATTCTGATACCCTGAGGATCTTCCTGGTCATTATCTGCTTCTCCACTGACAACTTTAGCTATCAAAGACAGTACAGTTCCAGGTAAATATACTAGCATTATAAACTAGGAATCTCAAAGGTCTTTCCATTATCAATGTCTGGTGCATTCATCTATCCATGGCAATATGCTGTCAGATATAGCAATAGAGTCCTAAAGAAATGTTTTGGCAAACAACCAACCAGAAGCAATCGAGTCTCAGCACCGGTTAACTGATGCTGCAACACACATTTGAGGGACAGTCCTTGTATTTGAGACTGTTAAAAATGTCATTCTGTACTCAATGCACATCACTTTGTCCTTGTGGTTTTTAAGTTGGGTAGTTACACTGACTTTACTACAACATGAAAAGTAGATACACCTCTACCCCGATATAACATGAATTTGGATATAATGCGGTAAAACAGTGCTCCAGGGGGGCGGGGCTGCACGCTCCAGCGGATCAAAGCAAGTTCGATATAACACGGTTTCACCTATAACGCAGTAAGATTTTTTGGCTCCCAAGGACAGCATTATATCGGGGTAGAGGTGTACTTGACTTCCTGGGGGAAAAAATCCTACTATCGTGGGTAGAGCTTAATTTGTGGCTACATATGGCATATTATGCTATGGTAGTTCAAAGAATTTATCTAATTACTTTTACTATATACTACAGTACTCAGAAGTATTAGGAACCTAAACTTTCTAGGCAGATTGTTTTCTGGTTTTGGGAAATAGCTTCTAAAAATGACAATTACTTTTTTCTTTTTAAAACATTCTGAAGTACCAATAAGTCAATCACTGCAAAAATATTGATTTGTATACAGTGTTAAACACCATGAGTAACTGTTTTTACTTTTGGCACCTTAGAGACTAACAAATTGGAGCATAAGTTTTCGTGGGATACAGCCCACTACGAAAGCTTATACTCAAATAAATTTGTTAGTCTCTACGGTGCCACAAGTACTCCTGTTCTTTTTGCGGATACAGACTAACACGGCTGCTACTCTGAAACCTGTTTTTACTTTGCATTTTAATATTTTTACACTAATTTTTGCCATTCCCCTCCCTACCAATATAAGTGACAAATCCAAAGTGCAACACAAGAGTAAAGAAACATGTCTTTTATACTATATTAAGTACAAAATAGGTTTATTTTTTAGCCCACAACTAAAAACTTAACATTTTACATGTAATGTGAAATCCACCAGGTAGGAAAAGACAGCATGATTTCCATTAACTCATATTCATAATCTTATCTAGTAATTTCAGGCAAGTAAATTTCTAAAAACAACAATGGTCTTTAAGAATGACTTTTTTGGCTGCTACTTCCTAGACAGTCTCACCTTTGTAAAAACTTTTCACATATTGTTCTCAATGCCATTTTTCCTGAAACAGCTTTTGACAGTTCAGAGAGTCACAAAATTACATTTAAAAACTATAAATAGTTTTACACTACTGCTAAAGCAAAACATGCATAAAAATTAATGAAATTCTTTTCACAAGCACTGAAGTACTTTATAAAAAATTAAAAGATTAAGAGTAACTAGAAAATAAATCTTATGCTATATTTTAAACTGAGAAAGTGAGCCAGCTATATGAATCTCACTAAAGAGAATTATACTTGCAAATTTATAGTGGGTGAAGGCAAGTCAAAACTATAGCAACATGAGAAATTGGATCTAGAGAAATCAAAATCACCTAAATAAGAGTGTATCAATATGAAGGGCTTTCAATGCCTGTGCCAAAGCCTTAAAGTGAATTTGTGAGCACCCTACGAAGATATTTATTAACAGATCAAGTTGAAATACTCCAAAACAGAAATACAAGAATCCAAACCAACTGTAACCTGGATAAGGTAGTACAATTTTATTTCATACAAGATACCTCTCTAGAAATTGGCTAATACTATCCTCTAAATGAGCAAATTAAGAACTGAAAAAAGGCCTTTTAGGAATCCAATGATGTCACACAAGTCTCCCATTGCCTGAAAGAAATCTGTTCAGAACAGTGAAGTATGACATTTCTTAGAGGATTTTTTTTTCTTGTTCAATGACCCAATAGTGAAGCACTAGAACAGTATTATTCCGTATTACTATCTTGAACAGAAAATTTTAAATTAAGTACCTTTTTGCTTTTTCCGAGATTTGTGTGGCTTCTTCTCTTTTGAACTTTGTCTTTTAGTAGCTTTTTGCTTCCTCTTTTTCTCATCTGCTAGTACCTCCTCAAGCAACTGGGCAAAGAATTCAAAGTCAAATGGTCGCTTTTCCTCTGTCCAATTAAAAGAGTGAAATATAAAAGGTAATATTTCACAGTTAATAAAGTTATTCAAGCTTCTGCTTTCTTAAAACAAATAGTTCATTTATGATTTCCATGCCCAACCACCACTTTCCATACTGCACGTTTCATGACTAGTCAGTTTTTTTTATACAAGTGGCACTGAAAGCTTGCAGAGACCAGAGGTAACATATTAGGCATGCAAAAGCTTAGTTTTAAAACAAAGGTTGCGACGTGAGCTGTGCAGACATGCTATATCACCGTGGGAAAGCTCTCCCAGCAATAAAAAACCCACCCCGAACAAGCAGTGGTAGCTTTATCACCAGGAGTGCAGCTCCTGGCAATAAAGAGCTATCTATACTGGCACTTTTCAGCGCTAAAACTTTTGTCACTCAAGGGTGTGTTTTTTCACACCCCTGAACGACTAAAGTTTTAGTGCTGAAAGAGGCAGTGTAGACACAACTTAAGAGAGAGTTTCACATAATCGCTTGGAAAATTCTGAAAAACAACAAATATTCAGGTTGCATCACAATATCAAATTATGAACCACTGTGCTAAATGAAGTAGACCCTGACATTTCATGAAAGTAACAGTAGTACCTATACAGCACTTGTCATTCAAGATTCTCAGAGTGCTCTACAATTAGTAACTAATGGATGCTACATGTGAGATAGTTAAATATTACTCCCCATTTCACAGAAAGACTCTAAGGTACAGAGAAAGTATATGCTTAGCCCAAATTAGACACCAAATCAACAACAGAGCTGGAACTAAAAGCTAAAAATTTTACTTTCAGTCTTGTACTTTAACCACTACATTAACCTCTAAATGTTAAGTATTACAAACAAACACCCTGTTGTAGAATTAATTTATTGGATCCAGGGCCGGCTCCAGGCACCAGCCCACCAAGCTGGTGCTTGGGGTGGCACCTGGAGGGGGGCGGCGCGGCGCTCCGGCCCCCGGGGAGAGCGGGGCCACGGCCGGGCTCGCCGCCCTCCCCCTGGGGCTCCGGCTGCCCTCCCCCCGGCAGCCGGGGGGAGAGCGGAGCCCCCATGGGGGCCCGCCCCCCCCCCCCGGGGGCCCCGGCCCCCCCCCCCCCCCCCCCGGGGGGGGGGGGGGGGGCGGCCGGTGGCTTTTTTGCCTGGGGCGGCAAAAAAGCCAGAGCCGGCCCTGATTGGATCAAACAAACTAAAGCAGAAAAAAAATTACATATTCATAACTAAATTCTTCTGATTAGGTGTTAAATAAAAACTTACTGAACGCTTTATCTATCCTCCATCCATTTGCTTTTTCCTCACGTTTAAACTTGTTCTGAAAAAATGTATATTGTAAATTATATTAATCCTTCTCCACTAAGCAAATGTTACAGTACTACAGATATAAAAGGTAGCAAATCAGGATAAAATACTCCTTTAGTTAGTGAAAACATTGCCCACAAGGACATAAAGTTGTAACTGCACCTCTACCCCGATATAACGCTGTCCTCGGGAGCCAAAAAATCTTACCGTGTTATAGGTGAAACTGCGTAATATCGAACTTGCTTTGATCCGCCAGAGTGTGCAGTCCCGCCCACCCGGAGCACTGCTTTACCGCGTTATATCCGAATTAGTGTTATATCGGGTCGCGTTATATCGGGGTAGAGGTGTAACACACTGGTTTGAGTTACAAATGTATCTACTTCAAATTAGGAAGTTTAACTAATTTGTATCAGATCAAGAAGCACCTTATCCATTTCAGACATATTACTCTGGATATTAACTACATTCTGAAAATGTACTGTTACCACAAACTTTACCCCCGAATCATATACCATCAAAAGTTATTAATACTAAAATACTGTTTAAACAGCATGCAAGAGGTTGAGAACAAAAGTAAATGCTGACAATTGCACTGGTAATATCATTCTCTGCTTTACTTACCTTAATCTCTGTTCTTGCTCTGTGAGGAAACAGCTGACCAATGAGAGAGAAGTCTGTTCCTACCATGCTAATAGCTAAGAAGAACATGTCAGTTTCTGTAACAAAAATATACATACACAAATAAGTATTGAATGCTATCATCCTTTTTACTACATGAACCAAAATCTTTACATTTAAGAGTAAAAAAAATATGTATACCCTATATATTCAGTCAGAGCTAAATTCCAAACCAGACCATTATTCCAGTTCATAGTTTCACAGAGTTTAAGGCCATAAGGGATCATCTGAACTTCTGTAAACCACAGGCCATTACATTTCACCCAACTACCCCTGTATTCAAAATTATTTTTATTTGAGTTTGCTTTATTTTATACTTTTTCTGCTCATCACATTGTAAAGCATCTTGATACTACTGAGGAATGCTGTATAAATGTTTCTCTGGGTACTTACGGCATCGGTGTAGCTTCTGAGCATCTAGCAACATGGAAAACATATCAAGCTAATTACTATAAGTGAATATATATCCAATAAGCTTGAAATTATTCTGATTCCCCACCCTTCAGAGTGGAATACACTAAATAACAGCATGCCTCCTGAAAAATATTTTCCTCGTCGTCATGACTTAAGAAGAAGGGAGAGGTGATTCAGGTACTACTAACACTATTCACTCCAGTAAAGAGCAGTTTGGAGAAGATTTCTTCTCTAAAACTTAAACAATGTAATTTTGTTAAAAAGTAAGCTATTAAGTCAGGAAGATAAACACAGAAGTAATTAAAAATGATCATCATGTATCAGGAATAAAGTTCATGTTCTAAGAGCTTACTCAAAATAAGTTGCTTCTATGGTTATCAAGCGCTTCACATTCACACCAGCTTTTAACCACCTGGAAAATCAATTCCCTCTATACTATGCCTTTGTGAACAGTATACTTTGAAGTTAAATAATGCATGTTCTAAACTAATAATTTAGCTTCTGCAGATCATACCATTTTTTGACTATGAATAACCACTCATCAGCACATTCGTTGAAAATATTTTTCTCCTGAGGTTTAGCTTATTTTATATGTAATTACTTACAATCACTATTGAGATTTTATAGTTGTATTTTGTACACACACGGGAGTATTGATAATACTATGTTTAATTAAAAATACAGCTTTTCCCCTAACAATTTTGTTCTCTTGCATTTCACAAACATTTAGAAGTTTCCTTCATTTTCAATTAACAAGCTTATTTTTGTTTATGTCTCAGTATCAATGGAGAATTAATCCTTAGGAAATATGTTATTTTTAGAGTTCTCAGATTAAAAGAATACTAAGAATTGTTACACTTTGGATTTAAGTTACGCTGTGTATTACTTTCTTAAATACCTTTATTACTACTATTATATCAATTGTCAACAAAAAACAATCTAGATTTTTAAAATAAGCAAACACTAATCTCACTAATTCTGCAAAGAACACTAGATCAACATTAATTCATGAATTTTAATTCTCATCTTATTCTTTATGAATGCAACCACAAAATATAACAAAACATTGTATTTTTTAACTGCTCTTTATTTACACAGAGTAGCAGTATTCCAAAGAATTCATGAGAGAATCAGGAATGAAACTCCACAATCTTCCACCCAAAGATTTGAGAAGTGTTCTCATACACAGTGATCTCTACCACATTGTGATGCCGGCAAATAATAATGGCCAAATTCTGGTAGACATAAGCATAGTGTCCTGCACCCACAAAACATAAGTGCACATATACACAGCAAAAAGCAGCCCGATGCACAGATTCCTCACACCATCTATTCCTAAACCATGCTGGAAGGGCTGTGTGTATAACTGCTGCCGGATTAGGAAGCACACGTGATTTAATATGCAGTTTATACAACCTGGTCCCCAGTCCCACAACGACTCTCCTGTCAGAGGCACATTGGAGTGGCATTTCCACTTCTGGAGTGGCAACCAGCTTCCAGCCCATTATCTCACTGGGTGTGGGTTTCTTGAGTATGCCTATGCTCAGCACAAACTAGAAGTCTGCTCATTAAGGCCCTTATCCTACAACTATTAAATAAGTGATTAACTTTACACATGAATAGATCCATTGAGGTCAATGGGACTATTCACATGTGTAAAGTAATATATGTATGCAAGTGTCTGCAGGATCAGGACTTAGTCTTCTACAGACTAAAAACTTGAAACTAAAATATACCTACCTTTATTTGACCACGGCTTGGTATAAAAACTTTTCCTAAAGCTGGAATAGGTAGTTGTGGAGCCACGCTCAAAGATCGGATCATTTTCTTCTACGACACATGACCCTTTTGTCCTTAAAACTTCTACAGTTAAACTGAAAAGAAGAAAGCAACCCAGGAATGTCAGACATCAGAAATGTCATTAGGGGCAATAAAAACCTGGAGAACCACATTTTATGTCTGTTGAGAACCTGAGAATTAAGACTCTTCCTGCCATACTGCAAGTTCACGTCAATTTAACTACGTTTCACTACCATGCCAATATCTCTCTATTATATGAATTAGAGAATATTGGGAATTGATATTAACCTAGTTAAATTACATACAGTAGAACCTCAGAGTTACGAACAGCAGTCAAACAAACTGACCAGTCAACCAGACTCCTCATTTAGAACCAGAAGTACACAATCAGGCAGCAGAGACCAACAAAAAAAAAAAAAAGCAAATACAGTACAGTACTGCATTAAATGTAAACTATTAAAAAAATAAAGGGAAAGTTTAAAAAAGACTTGACAAGGTAAGAAAACTGTTTGTGCTTGTTTAATTTAAATTAAGATGGTTAAAAGCAGCATTTTTCTTCTGCAGTAAAGTTTCAAAGCTGTATTAATCAACGTTCAGTTGTAAACTTTTGAAAAAACAACCACAACGTTTTGTTCAGAGTTATGAACATTTCAGAGTTACGAACAACCTCCATTCCCAAGGGGTTCATAACTCTGAGGTTCTACTGTAATTACATTCACTCTAACATTTTAGAAATATGGAACACATATACATTAAGTAAAATGTAGTGAAGAGTCCAATGTCTCAAATTTGTTTGTCCAATTAGTCTTAAACTTTCCAAGAAAACTCTTTTGCAAGGTCACGTATGGGAAATTCTTCATTTCTTTTTTACTGTTCCAAATTCCTCTTCCAGGACATCCCTAAGCTCCCGTAATAACTCAAATCCTGACCCTGTAATGATGCATTGTGTATAGCCCTAATTTGCTATCCAACATGGAATTAAATCAGGGGTGGGAAAACTTTTTGGCTTGAGGGCGACATTGGGGTTCCAAAACTGTATGGAGGGCCGGGTAGGGAAGGTTGTGCCTCCCCAAACAGCCTAGCCCCCACCCCCTATCCACCCCCTCCCACCCCAACTGCCCCCCTCAGAATCCCCGACCCATCCAACCCTCTCTGCTCCTTGTCCCCTGACCGCCCCCTCGCGGGAACCCCTGCCCCTAACCGCCCCGGACCTCACCCCAACCCCCCCTACTCCCTGTCCCAACTGCCCTGACCCCTATCCACACCCCCACACCCTGACAGGCCGCCCGGGACTTCCACGCCTATCCAACCGCCCCCTGATCCCCGTCCCCAGAACCTCCGCCCCATCCAACCGCTCCCTACTCCCTGTCCCCTGACTGCCCCCCGGGACCCCATGCCCCTTATCCAAACCCCCCTCTCCCCGCCCCCTTACCATGCTGCTCAGAGCAGCAGGACTGGCAGCCGCGCCGCCCAGCCGGAGCCAGCCATGCCGCTGCGCTGCCCGGCAGGAGCTTGCAGCCCTGCCACCCAGAGCGCTGATGGCACGGGGGCTACGGGGGAGGAGGAACAGCAGGGGAGGGGCCAGGGGCTAGCCTCCCTGGCCAGGAGCTCAAGGGGCGGGCAGGACAGTCCTGCGGGCCACAGTTTGCCCACCTCTGAACTAAATTCTAAGGTATTATGTAAAATTATGAAGCCAGATAGTTAACTCGATTAGCAGGAGTTACATTGTTAACCACTCTGGAAACCAGATAATAATTCATCAGACACACATAGCACAGGAGTCAGTTGCAGAATATCAGTTACCTTTCTTCATCCAGAATAATTGTACCATCTTCTGCTACTTTCACTCGAGGAACTAGAAGAGGACCATCATTCTCCTCCCCTTCCTCTGGCTCAGTCTCAGCCTCCTCATCTTCATGATCAGGAGCACGTATCTCTTCTGGTCTACAATTTTGAAAGATTAACACTTCAGCACATACACACAAGTAGCATTTTCTTCTGGTCGCTATGTATCTGCTAGATTACCCCATACATTATTCAGTCACCTAGCTAAAACCCCCACAATTTTATAAATCTTCAGATTAACATTTTATCAGTTATATTTTGATATATGAAAATGTCAGTTGGCTGGATGCATGTAAAATTAACACCAAACATGATGTTAACTGGCCGCAACAATAACTTTCCTTGAATTACAAGTACTCCCTGTCATAATAATGATTAAAAAGCACAAATGTAACATGATCAACCTATTACCATGAATAACAAGATACTCATCACAGCTAACCTGTCTCAAGAAGTCTGAGTGAACAGATTGATTTCTACATTCTGCTCCTGGACAATTTATCTAATGACTACCATTTCTCCTCCATCTTCCCGCCATCTAAAATAATTAATTTAAAACAAAGGAATAAATTTATCACAACAGTAAGTTAGGAACCAGACAATCCCTTCTGCATTACTTATACATAAAATGTACTTCTTTTCCAACAAAAGGCATTTTGACTTTAAGTATCAGAGACACAAAGACTTACTCTTTCATTTGGACCTGTGTAGAAGTCTTCTCAGTTTTCTTTTCTTCTGCCAGCGAAGACCTATTAATGAATATTAGAGATATGACAATATTCACTGATACATAGATTTACACTAACAGAAAAAAAACCACCCCCAAAATCTGTTCTAAATCTGAAGGCAAAACATCTTTACTAGAGCACTCTCTTTATACCATGCTAGTGCATCATCTAATTTCATAATCTGTATATACTGCTACGTGACTTGAGCAACTTAAGGTTCTAGAAATGAATAGTTCAGGAGAATTAGTAATGGGATAGAGAACCTGTTGTCACTTCACATAACCTGACTTCACATCATCGGTCCGAATCCATTACATAACATCATAGTACTATGCTAAAATGCAATAGGGTATTTTTAGTTCGGGCTAGCAAGATCTATATAGACCTATTACTGTGGAACTTGTTAGTGCGCATTAGAAATCATATCCATGTAGCATACACTGCTGCTCCATGAAGAGATACCATGAGTTCTTTGGTCTCAGACCAGTTACCAGTGGACAGCTAACAGTGCCACTGCTACCAACACAATTGGCAACAATGTTAGCAAGGCAAGCAGAAATGCCAAACTTCCAATGGACACAGAAAATGAACTACCTACCCTACTACTCCTAAGGCTAGTCCTTCCAGGTAGGGATTATATTGCCAGAGGTTTGACACATTATTTTTGTGCCTTGTTCCACACTACACATGATTAAGGATACAATTTAGTCATGGAGGTCATGGATTCTGTGACTTCACTGGACCGCCACGACTTCGGCTTAGCTGTCAGCAGCGCGGCCGGAGGCGTGCACCCCCCTCCGTCCCCCATGGCCGGAGCTAGGGCAGTGTGCCCAACCCCTTCGGCTTCAACAGATTCCAGAGCCATTGTTGCATGTCCCCACCCCACGGCTTCAGCAGGGTTTGGAGCTGGGAGCTGTGCCCCCATGATGGTGGGGCTAGAGCTGTTAGTCCCCACAATGGGGATCCAGGTGTCATTCCTTCCCCTCCTCGCCCAGCCCTCTTTCCCCCCATTATTTTTAGTAAAAGATATGGACAGATCAGGGCTCCCATAAATTTTTGTTTATTGCTCGCGACTTGTCCGTGACTTTTACTAAAGATAACCATGACAAAATCTTAACCTTACTTATGATAAGTTGATAGCATACGGTCACTACCCTCTCAAGACACACAGCTCCGCCATGATGCCTATTTAAAAAGTCAGCTAACTTATGATGGCTACATTGAAGAGCAGCTAATATTTAATCTACAATTGGGAAAAATTCAAGTGTATGTTCATGTATACACACAGATTTGATTATATCAAACTTCACTTATTACTTGTCTATATACATTGAAATACTTCAGGGTATGGACTGTGTCTCCGTATGTTTGTACAGAACTTAACATGAGACTCTAATCCCGATTGCAATACAAATACCAAGTAATAGTGATACAGCATTCAGAAGCTTACGCTGCCACTGCCCATGCTTTACCTGTTCTATGGATAAACAGGACTTCCGTATCCAGGGCTGTCAGTATAATACATTTCACAAGGATTAAAATTAGTATACACAGCCAAAACAATTTACCGTTAAGAAAAGAGAACTGTACTTACTTCATAGGATTGTTTTCTGGCAGGTAGTATATCAAGTCTCTCATAGTCATTTTGGAATGATCTGGTGGAGTTTTCCCTTCAATTACTGTTGGTCTATTTTTCCATCTTTTCTACATACCAAAGATACGTTTATTTAGCTTTTTCTTTATTCACACACATTATAGAAAAATAAATATTTATTTTTCTATGTGCCTGGCCTAATTTTTCTCTAACATTATTGTAGCTTTTTGATTTTACAGTGTACATTTCTCAAAGACATCATCAACCTTAATTGATCTGGGTTTTCAAGAGAACTCAATGCTCTGTGTGGGTATGAGATGTGTAGACCCAGAAGCCAAGACACACTGGATGCATGGTCTAATATCAGACCTAAAAGGACTGAGGTGTGTCAAACCAAGGAGCGTGAGACACTTTAGATTATATTTTATCTTTGCCTAAATCAAAATAAAACAAATAGTGAACTTGCACAGGATTGCAACTGTTGGGTTTTCATATAAATGATGAATTCAACTTTTAAAAATGAACACTGTCAATTAAAAATAGATAAAAATAGTTTCAGACACTATGAATGCTCCTGAACTCCCTGCCATTTTGTGTGGCTTTTTTAAAAGTATTATTATTGTTGTTGGCAGGGAGATTAAGGACCTGTTATAGTACATGAAACCACTTTTTTTTTTTTTAATTGACTAATTTTCAAGTTGACTTCTCCACCGAAAGGAAAGCTGCTGCCTCTTTTCCTTCTCATACGTACCTTCTCTATTGATATATACAAATCTCTTACATTGTGCTGCTGAATTCAATTTTCATTAGAATCTCATGAGGTTTAATAGTTAAGTGTTTTAACATCCCTATAAGATTGCTCAACTATAAAATAGTGAAGTGAGCTGTCCAAGGTAACAGACCTGAGTCAATAACAAAGCTGAATACAGAACACAAGAGTCCCAACTCTCAGCTCCCCCACTGTATTTACCAATGATAAAAATACATAGTTAAAATAGTAAGCATTCTGGCTGGCATGTTAGCAGCAGTATTATTATGTCACATAAAGGTCCACTAGTAGAATCACACCACCACCAAAAATAAATAAGTAAATCATTTTTATACAAAAGAACACTCACTCCTGTGATAGGACAAGAGCTACTAGACCCCATCATAGGCTGCCAGCACTATGCTGCTGACATCATAGTTACCATAGATTACATACTGGAATTGACCCACAGGGATCAGGCAAATGTTGATTCCCCTTTTTTGTGTCATCTCTGCCCAAAATTCCCAAAGCAGGACCTTACCATCCTCTCTTTCTTAAGCTCTTCTTTGAGCATCTCTCTTAACTTCTGAGCTTTGAGGATTCTTTCACGGTCTGAGCATTTTTGTTTATCTTTTGTTAGCGGGGGTTTTGTATGTGGCATTTCCTCTTGTGTGGGTCTTCCTTGGGTGGGTCTCTCCTTGAGAGGGCAGAGTGTGTTCTTCTGGAGGATTTCATCATTTTTGAGAGCAGTTACACCCACATTTGGCTCTTTGCTCACTGATTTTTTAAGTGGGGAAAACTGTGGCACTTGTGGGACAGGTGTTTTCTTTTCAGGCAGTATGGGAGACTTTGGGGAGCTTTCTGTATTAATCTTCTCTGATGGATAGGATTCCTTCTGAAGTGAAGAGTTACCATTAGTAACAGACTGAGGTACTAGTTTTTGAGAAGACTTTGATACTGAACGTTGTGCAGGTGGAAGTGTAACTCTGGGTTTTGCCAGATTAGGCATAGTGGATATTCGTTTTCTTCTCTGTAAAGGTGTATCTGCAGGTTTCCTAGCTTCTCCATCATCATTTGCACAACCAGTCCTTTCATCTCTGTGGAAAATTAAAACAAATATCTTACCCTGAAATCCCTTACAATGACAGTTTTGCTACTTTTAAGATTGCATTGAGGGGAGCACATCTAAAGCCTAAATATAGTATTAAAAAAAGTGTATTACTCTGAGAACCTTATCCAAGAACCCATACTTAACCAAACCAAGACATATTGAATGATGCCTCGTAAATTATGTAAAATATAGATTCTTATGTCCAAAAATCAAAACATTAACAAGTTTTTAGCAATAGTGATTAACATTTAAGTATTCAGACTGTTTTTTGTTTTGTTTTTTTAATGAAATGCTCTTTACCTTCAATCTCAACGCACACTCATAGATCACCAGATAATAAAATAGTTTATGCATAAAATTAAAATTGTGTAAAAATATTTAATAAACTCAGATGTAACAACAATGTGTCAGGAAGGTGTCAGGAAAAAGGCTTAATTTAAATTCCTCTGCAGTATTTGCAACTCAAATATTATATCACTGTGTAACTCCTTAAAACCCAGAGTGAAACTGACAAGAGTTTCACAATCTATGCTAAGTGTACAAAAAGTCAGCAGCCCTTTCCTAGGTGAGTACAGTACTATTAGTTTCTACAGGAAGTCAATCTTGGTTTAAAATGAAACTAAGTTTCTAATACTTAAGGTTGCAAAGACAATATTCCCAACATGAACCTAGTGCAAACCAATGCACTGTTGTCTTCCTAACTCTGCAGACCACTCCAGTGCCTCAACTGCTGATCATTGCTTGGTCAAGATACAGCAGAGGTGAACTGCAAAGATTTTTTAAAAAATGAGGATTGTGCTTTTTTTTTTGGTTCTGCATGATATATAAAAAAGGCCTGGAAAGTCAGTCCCTGGTTGTAGTTTTAACTTTCAAAGTATCAGGAATGTCAAGTCTGAATAAAATAAAACCCCACAAAATGTCAGGTATATTTTTCAAGCTCTGTGGTAAAGTCATGTAGACATTTTAAAATGGACAAAGTACTAAGTGACATTTAATGATTTTAATCTGGACTGTTTCTTTAATTCTAGGTGTAAATCCAAGAAAGTGTTGCCCATTCTAATTCATAGATATCCATCCAAATTTTGGTACCAAAAACAACAACAAAAAAACCTGTTTGCTGCTGCTGTTTTTTTAACGGCCCCCCTCAAATGTCAGTGTTACACAACTAGGAGCGGTATACTTTCCTTGAGTTGTGTTCTGAGGACCTCCACCATTGATTTCAATGAGAACTGTGCAAATCAAGATAATATCTGGTCCCAGAGTGAATCATTATTATAATGGTTTTTCTTAGTATTTGCTCTAGTGGCCTAAGGTGTTACAGAAAAGCAGATATAACAACTTCCTGAGTGCTACTGCAATAAAATAGTAGATTAATAATAATAGAAAAAGGTCTGCACTGATAAAAAACAATTATTCAGTCCTAGGGAAATCAACACTAAACTTCCAAGTACTAACTTCAATCACAAATATTAAATGTATGGCCCGATCCAGAATTGTTTTCCACCTAGGAGAACCCCTGCACCTAGGCAGGGATCAATTTCTTTCAATGGAGGCTCGTCCACGTGAGGCTTATTGCAGGATTGGGGACTATAACAAAATAAGAATAATTATGTACAAAAAATACCTATATAGCCATTTATTTCTAAACCAAGGGCTGGCACTCCTTACATTCTTGGTTATCTTAGATCTAGCAAATAGTGACCTCTCATCCTGCAGTAATATGTATTTCGCAACTTCAAACACGGCAAACCCAAGACAACAAGGGAACAATCCTCAGACAGGAAAAATACCTCCTGAACAAAAGGGAGACAGGCACGGAGAAGGCGTTGGACACCTGACAGCTTCCAAGCACGGTGCGTGCAGCTGCGGTGTGAGGGACAGTGCAGAGCGCAAGGGCAGGTAGGCTGCTGGCCATGATGGTAACCAGACAGCTCCCAAAGCTTTCCAGGCACCCGAGAACCTGTACAGGACTGAGACCTCCAAGCAGCGCCCTCCCGGCGGTTGCTGGTCCTGCTCCCCCGGGTTGCACGGAGCTGGGGCTGCTCCTGACAGCGAGACTTGCCCAGCGCCGGCTTGGTGCGGCTAGAGCCGCGCAGAGCCCAGTACAGATCGCGAGCTGCGGGACTCACCTGTTCCCCTGCTGTCCCCCCTCTGGCTGGGGCGGGGGGTCCGGGCGGGGACCGGCAGCAGCTCCGGGAGAGGCTGTCGCGCTGGGCTGCGGCTCTTGCCTTGCCGGCAGGGAGGCAGAATCCTGGCCGCGCTGCGGCTCCGGGGCCGCCGGAGCGCTCGGGGCGCCGCCCCTACCCACGGGCCTCACATTGGGCTTCACGCTGAGCCTGGCTCGGCGGAACATGTTGCCGGGCTGCTCCCCCGTTCCCCTCGCTCAGGCGGGGGAGGAAAGAGCTCGGTCCGGCCCCTGGGAGCGGCGGCGGGGGGTCACTCCCGCGCGGCCAGGGAAGCGCTAGAGCCGAGTGTCCCGCCTCCGGCGCCGCCGCCTCATGTCACTTGCCGCACACCGGGTTCGGGTCCCCCCTCCCCGCCGTGCACAGGGCCTGGTGCAGCCAAACGTCATCAGCCTGCGACCGGCCGCAGCGGGGAAACACGTTCACACGTGACGCGTCAGAAGGCGGGGTAAGTGGAGCGCGTTCCCTCGCTAGAACTTCCGTAACTAGCGGAGATTGCGGCCAAAGTGAGGGAGAGCCGGAGGGGACGTAGAGTGCTGTGTATCGCGAGTCCGCGGCTCGCAGGGTGTGGGGTGTTTGTTACAGCCCCCCCGAGTGCCTGGGGGTCTGTGATTGATGTGAGAATCTGAGTTTTCCTTTTAAAAAGTTATGTTTCTAGCCTTTGTGTTTACAGAGTTGAAAAAGGCTCATTCAAGAAAGCAAATAACACTTCCAAAATGCATATTTTTTAAAATCTCATTTGTAAGCAAGTCTTCTGATTTTGGGAGGAGGGAGGGGGTTCTTATTCAGGGTTTTCAAGTTCTTGCAGTTGACCTTATTCCTGAAGGAATTCTGTGCCAAAAAAATAAAAATTCTGTGCACAATATTCTAAAGTCCTGCAAATTGTATTCATCAGTAAATGTGGAGGCTCCGGTGTGGCAGTAGAAAGCACAGGCCACTGGCTGCATGGAGGTGGGACATCACCCTGCAGTCCCCTGCCCCTCCTTGACATGGATTTAGTGGTGAGCCTGCACCTGAACCTGACAGCACAAGGGCTGGGCCTGCCCCAGAAACATCCTGGGGGCTCTGCACCATGCACACCAGGAATGGCGAGTTAGTCTAAGTCCACCAGGATGCAAGTGTGGACAGGTTTAGCATGGGGGGATCTAGATGTGGGGTGAGAAGATTTTGGGTGGGGCAATCTGGGTGCATGTTGCTCAGTGATGGCGTCCAGGTGCAGGGGGAATCTGGATGCACGGGGACTTGTTGGGGGGGTTCCGTTTGCAGGGGGAGTTCAGGTGAAGGTGGTTGGGGCTCAGCAGGGGAGGTGGCCTTGGGGGCTGAGCTGGGGAGTCTGGGTGCTGGGGGGGGGGCTTAATGGGATGGGGGTCCAGGTGTGGAGGGCTCAGTGAGAGTTGGTCCGGATGCAGGGGTGGGGTCCAGGTGCAGAGGGAGCTCAGCAGGGGGGGCTCGTAGGGGGATCTAGGTACATGGAGGCTCTGGATGCAGGGAGTGAGGCTCGGCAGGGTGGAGGTTCAGGTGCTGGGGAGGCTGGGCATGGTGGGGTCCAGATGCATGGGGTTGGACGGATGGGGAAGCACCTCCTCCCACGGCTGAGGAGTGATGGGGGCAGGAAGCGAAGATGGGGAGGCTGCAGAGTGTCCTGCAGCCAGAGGAGGTTCCTGGGTCTGGGGGTGACCCGGCCCCAGCCGCTCTTTGCAGGGGAAGAGAAAGTCCTGGCTGCCCTCAACCCCAGCACATCCAGGACTAGCAGCTGAACCCAGTGCAGGGTAGGAGCCACTGGCTGGGCCGTCTCCAACACTCCCCACTCCCTGCCATTTACCTCTCCGCTGGCTGCTCTGAGCACCCAAAACAATGTGCCTGTGTTGCTGGGGGTGGGGGGAGGGGGGCGCATGACTGCTCTTGTGGCTTCCCTTTGCTTCCACATCAGAAAGTCATTTTTTCTGTGGGGAAGCAAAGAAATCTGCAGGGCATGAATTCTGCGTGCCCACAGTTGCAGGACGCCCGCAGAGGTAGGTGCTAATGCGGCTGCAAGCGGCCTATTCCCCCCGCCGGGAGCAATAGTGTAAAAAAAATGGGGGGGGGCATCACTTTTTGGCGCCCTAGGCGGCCGCCTAGTTCGACTAGTGGTTACACCGGCCCTGCATATAAGTAAAGTCCTGCACCCATGTGGAACTTTTTGCTGCTTGAGGACCATAACTGTTGTGACAGACTTAATACTGCAGTCAATAAATAAGATTTTCTGTAGTTTGGAATTACTTTTATTTATTTGTATTACAGTCATGTACACAGGCCTCAGTCAGGTTCAGGGCACCATTGTGACAGGCATTCTGCACATATAGGCCTCGTTCTTGCTATGAACTCTGCATGGACATACTCTGGCAACTACACAGAGTTCATCGGGGCCATAAGAGATAGTCCCTGCACCCAAATACTTTATAATTTTACATCTTGAGCTTGCAATAAGATCCATGCAGGCAGTCTCTTGTGTCCATGCAGAGCCCCATTGCCTTCATGATTTCAGTTAGTTACAAGTATCTGCTGGTGCAAAGCTCATTGAACAGCATAGATGTTAATCCTGCAAATGCTTAGGCACTTATTTATTTAATTTTACTCATGTGAGCAGTCCCATTGCTTTGATTGAGACTACTCACATTAGTGAAATTAATCATGTGCCTAAATGTTTATACATTTGGGACCTAAAGTACCAACTTTACAATTAAATCTGTGTAGGAATGCCAGACCCTTCTGCCTGTGCAGAGAAACCAAAGGGGTGCTCCATAGTTTTAAGGATCTGCCTGCACAGATCTGATTACAAGGTCAGGACCGCAGTTTTTCATATTCTAATAACTCAAAAACAGCTTAATTAATTTTGTACTAAATTTCTAAAATAATGATAAATCCAAGAGCTGAGAATCAAGCAGATGACAGTTCAGCCCAGAGAGACATTATAATTTGCAATGATGTAAGTGGGGCTTCTGGTTTATGAAGTTTAGTTTTTTGGGCTTTGCTATTTAGTTTTAGATAAATTATATTACCTTTTTAAGGATTAAATGTGATTTTAAAATATTGTTTTTATCAAATTTAACAAAAATGACCTCCTCTGAAACTCTGAATTCCTGGCAGTGAGTTCTCATTTAGCATGTGAGGACCGGACCTGGCACTGTTACAGCACCATAATTTTCTACATTGCAAGAAGAGTAAATATTGGTCACTTCCAGTTTACATTTTAGAGATTTACCATCACTCACCATTTTATCTTGACTATTGCAATATTTAGTGTGTTTTTTAAGCCCGAGTACCTGGAATTCTGTGATTATATGAAGAATCACAGTTTTAATTTTTTTAAAAGCCTTCATGGTTGAAGAGAAAAATTTGAAAACAGGACCCAACTGTTCCCTAAAAGGCGCAAAACAGCTCTATTTGCTTTCTGGTTTTTGAGACTTTAGGGTGCACTGGGATCATATTTTCACGCTTTTCTGTGCCATCAGACAGGACAAAAACCTGCTTCCAAAACAGAAAAGTTGTGGCTTTCAGATAGTCATGTGACGTTACTGCCTCCCGGAATTTGGAGGAAGGGGTAAGAAACCACACCAAATATTCTGAAACTTCGACGCAGCCTTAAATATCGTGAGAACGCGGATTTCCACAACCCAAGGGAAACAGATTTACTGAGGCTCATCCTAGCCCTTCAGAGTCACAGCAGCCCGGACATGCTGCTAACTGAGCATGCGCAATGTTGACGAACCCCACAGCTCAGAGGCTCCGACTAATTCTAATCTTGGTGGGGGTGGTTTGGTGACGCCTGCATATTTGTGACGTCACAGAGGCGGTCGGTATATAAACCCCGTCTGGGGTAGGGGCGCCGAGGGGGAGGTAGAAGAAGGTTCTGGCAGTTGCCGGAGCACTTGGGAGAAGTAGTCGCGGTTTTAGGGATATTGTCTCGCTATGGCCCGTGAGTATCTACCTGAGTGTCCCCGCCCTGTCGGGAACGGCTCTGCTGGCTCCGCGCCGTCGCTGGCCGCTGTCGGGCCTAGGTGATGGAGCCGCGGCGGCAGCCCGGGCCCCCGCGGAGGGCTGTGAGAGCGGCGCATGCCCCCTTCTCGCTGGCTCTGGGTCGGGCCCGGTTGGTGCATGATGGTGGCTGGTCCCGGTAATTCAGGCTCCAGGCGCCTCTTTTCCGCTCCGATCGCGCACCCGGCCCGGCAGCGCCGCCTCCCTGCCGAGCTGTGCAGGCCCCGGGGCCCGTGAGCCTCGCAGGCTTCCTCCGAGCCGGCGCCATAGCGGCCCCACCCGGCGTCTGACTGCAGGAGCGGCCTACAGGGTAACCAGAGGTGGTGCGGGGCGCCCCCCAGGAAGGGGCCCGGCGGGGGATTAACGCGGCCGCCGGGACTCGGGTACCTCTGGTAATCGTACTGCGACCTCGCTCCTTGGTGACTCCTTTTTCTCCCTGTAAAACTGGGTATTTCTGGAGCGAACCCTCTGGCTATAAACATGGGCCCTGTTTTGAGCCGGGTCCCCAAAGGGTGGCCCTAAAGCCAGCCTTAAAAACATGGGCAACTCGGAACAAAGCAGAGTCTCCTGGGTAGTCTTTGCAGGGCTGTTTGTGATGAGTTGCTGATCAGTCAGGCCGGCAGCTCAACGTTTCATTGTTGGCTGTCAGGCTACAAATAAAATGCCCTTAAATGGCCCCTGAACATCTAATCCCACCATACTGAATTTAGCACTGCCAGACTGTGCCCTCCCTATTTATGTAAATAACTAAAAAAATAAGCCAATAATGTTAACTGCAGCAGTACAGTGAGGTGTTGCAGGAACCCATATTGCTCAAAGTCCGATGTTGTGGGTACAATGCCACTTGACTATATTAATGGCAAAAAAATTAATAGAGGAAACATCACAGTAGTAGTCAGAGATGTTCATTACTACAGTTTTCTCAAACTCTAGAGCAGCTTCTTCATTTCTCCTGGCAACAAACTAATCTTCAGCATTACTGAAGTTGTCTGTTTTGTAGCTCAATTTAGGAGATGTTCTAAGTTCAGCTTAGAGTTTCTAAACATACAGCTGAAATTCCCTGTAGTGATCCACGTTCAAGGAAGAACTGGGTAATTAAGAACTAAACTTCCTCACACAAGTGCCCTCCAGCCTGAAAGGGAAGTTGCAGGCTTATGCAATCGGTGATACAGCTGTCTCAATCTACTTATGGAGAGGTACTGTATAGTATGCACAACTTGAGGTCAAAAAGAGGCATGGATGATGTGTTCTGTACCCCTGTCATCCTCAAATCAAAAGTACTTGCTAATACATGGGCATTGGTACACTTCCCCCTTATCTATTTCAAAATAGTAATTGAAGAGGCAGAG